ACCCTCACCGTTTTATATGCCATTTTTCACAGAAAAGGTATCCCTTTCGTATACCTTTTTACCTCTTTAACAGATTCTTAAACCTTTTCATCCCTTTTAAATGCTGTAAATCCACTGTTTTTTGAATATGAGTAAATCGCAAGACCAGACCGTTTTATCGACTTTTTCCAGTCATAAAAGGTATCCGTTAGGCCTTGTGGGCTTTTTTACAGACGGAAATGACAGGTTTCCTTACGTTTTCATATACCTCAACTAGTGAAATTTCTACCCTTTCAAAAACCTGAAGCCTGAAAAAGTTACCCCTTTCGGTCGGAGCCTCCCTGTATAGGACTTAATGGGTAGTTATCCGTAGTTGTCGGCCTACATCTCTGGTGAAAATTTGAAAATAGACGCGTTACACTGTCTCTCCACCTGCAAGCTCCTGCAGTTTCCTAGTTTTCCGTTTGCGTCCTGTCGAAGTTATAATCATTATTTACTGTTATAGATAGTCAGAACTTACCAAGCAAAGAATCTGAACCAAAAGAGTCATTTTCTTAAAGCCAACATTGGAGCCGAGAAGACAAGGGGTCTAAATTCTGTCGTTTCTTCCTGATAATGTGCTTTCAGAACTGCGGTCACTGTCTTTTGGTATTCAGTCGACCGTAGCCAGGACAACTAATTTCATGACTTAGCTTTTTGTTAGTTGTAATCATGTGTACGTGCTTTATGTTATTTCAGTATCTCATTTAGATAATCCACAGAAACTTTCCAGAAACGCTGAAACGTGGTCACCAGAGGTGACGTTAAATCAAACTGACTCCAGCGTCAATGGCACGCCATACGCAGAAGGACGTCAATCGTTTCACGGATCATCATTTCCTCATATCTCTAACTAGGTTTTGTACAGCTGTTTGTACTGCTTGGCTACATTTTCAGGGAGTACTCTGTAGCATGCCTACGATTGAAACAAGAAGATCCATGCTTTGTTGGACGAGAGCTTCCTTCGTCTTTCTGATGATCTTGAAATTGTGCAGCTCTGAGGAATGTGAGTGTACATTTCACGTTTTTGTACAAACTCTTGTGTTTTATTGTTCGACTTTGGGGGCAGACCAGAACTTAGCAAAGATGTAAAATAGGCACGAGTCTCAGGACGTACTGGCGAAAGCTTTCAGCTTTAATTTGAGCGTTCCATTGGTAGCCGGGGGGACTACGCTGTTAATGATACCCCCGTGAGACAAATTAAGGATGTCTGATGTTTGAGTTGATAAATACGAAAAGCAAACACAGCATATCACATACAAAGCGTGAGGAGATCTGGAATCAGAGATCAATAGTGTGCCCCGGGTAGCTGTCGTAACAGTATCGTTCATAAATCGAATCTCTCAGTACGAACGTCTATGAATAAATAGAGAGTTGTTACTCGAGTTTCCCCCACTGAGCGATCATTGTGAGTGTCCCAGACCCCTAGACTAGGGGACATATCTTAAAAGAAAGTAGCTTGGCGCGTGCATAGTACCATTGAAGTAAATCAACGGAAGAAATATTTCTGCAACTTCATGCAAAGAAACTTAAAGTAGTGTTGTGAAACTTCTATCAACGACCCTCTTTTTAAAACCGGTGTAATGAAAAGAAAAAGTAAAATTAATGAAATGAGAAAAATAGGAAGTGAGGGTTGGGTTCAAGTTAGCCAAAGCAGAATTCCTAGACTGTGGAAAAAATCTTTCTGTTGCAATGGATAGGGATTAGATCGGATTAATGACATTAATGTAGTTTTACTGGGAAAAAAGATTCGACTTATCGACAGTATTTTCATGTCTTGAGGCGCTGCTGATAACTTAATGGCCACGTTACTAAGATGCCTTGTTGGTATCTTCAGCTGGTTCAATGTGTATACGTTCTGCACCATGCCAGCAAAACACTGCGCTGTGCTATAGAAGAGTCTGCATAACTAGTAGAGTTATTTTTCCAAAATAAACCTCTTTTTTAAATTAAATCCAAATTGTAGTTCATTGTTCAAGCAGTTAATGCCTATGACTTAACTCGAGTAGCGCGAAGAGCGTAGAGCGTAAAAAACGTGTTCCTCTGGTTACAAAGCACGTTAAAACCTGGTAAGGGAGGGGCAACAACTCGGTCAAGAAACCGTTTCAGCCCAACAGGATTACAAAGGAAGAAGTCACACAGCACGTACGAAAAACTTCATGCAAAGCAACTTAAAGTGAAGTTGTGAAACTTTAACACTGATTGACTTCGAAATAAACTCAGATCAAGAAGCCTATCAACGATCCTCTTTCAAAAACCGGTGTAATGAAAGCCAAAGACTTCTTGAACACGCCACTTCGCTGAACATACTTCACAAGTCTCAAATCGGCCTCTTACCTCAAAATCGAACATCAGACCACCTCCTAACATTGCGAACTCTTATAGACAAGTACGTACACTGGCACGGTGAGAAAGTATACGCTTGTTTTGTTGACTTTAGAAAAGCCTTTGACTCAGTCTGGCATGACGGACTTTTATACAAATTATTACAAATTGGTGTACGGGGGTGTTTCTATAAGTTAATCAAAAACCAATATTCAAACTGTTCTTTTACATTGAAAATACGTACGAGTCAAACAAGATCTTTTAGCTATTCACGAGGCGTACGCCAGGGCTGTATTTTAAGCCCCTTACTTTTCAATTTATATGTTAATGAATTACCGTCCGCGTTTCAAAATACTTTATCAGACCCTATCATCCTTCCAAATGGTACCAAATTAAATTTGCTTTTATATGCTGATGATTTAATTATTATATCACGATCTAAAATAGGATTACAGAACTGTCTCAACACATTATCCTCTTTTTGCAACTCTTGGATGTTAGGTATAAATTCCAAAAAGACCAAAGTTATGATCTTTCAAAAACGAGCGAAGAAAAGCTCCAATCTAAAATTCCATATAGGTCAAGAAACCATTGATATTGTCCATGAATATACATATTTAGGAACCCGTATCTCTTCAACCGGTAATTTTAATATCTCACTCGAACACTTGAAAGAGAAGGCTCTTCCTGCTCTTTTTAGTTTAAGAAAACACACAAACTTTAGCAAATTAAAACCTTCTGTTGCTTGCAAAATATTTGAAGCGATGATTTCCCCAATATTATCATATAAAAGCGAAATTTGGGGTGTATATGTAAAACATGATTTTAAAGCTTGGGACAATCCCCCAATTGAAAAAACCCACTTGAAATTTTGCAAGCGTTACCTAGAAATAAGCAATAAAGCTTCAAATGTTGCAAGTAGAAGTGAATTAGGACGGTTGCCATTAATTAATATTTATAAAAATATCCTTTATTACATATTGTATCTTCTGCGTAAAAACGAGGATACTGTTGTTAAACAAGCCTTTCATACCTCGCTAGAACTTCACTGTAATGGTAAAAATAGCTTTTACCATAATCTTATGAAAATATCTGAATATTATGACCTGCCTGATTTTGATCCTTTATAATTAAAGTGAAGCTAAGATCAAACACTATATAGATATGATAAAACAAAAATATATTACATATTGGCAACATACAATCCATCATTCTAAGAAACTACAATTTTACAGCTTATTCAAACATGATTATAAAATTTCAAGTTATCTAGACTTAATTAGAAATTCTGCCAATAGGAAAGACTTAGTGAAAATTTGTGTAAGTAACCACAAACTCATGATTGAAACTGGAAGATAAAATCAAACTTCCCGCAACGATAGATTCTGTCCTATTTGTAACTCTGGTATAATTGAAGACGGATTTTATTTTCTCCTCCATTGTCCAAAATACTCAATCCCAAGGGAGAAATTCTACAATCAAATCCAACAAAATTTTGTCGACTTTAATCAGCTATCTTACACACAATTAGTAATTAAATTACACTGTAATGAATTCACAGAATTTTTCCGTAAATTCACATTTGTTGAAATTTGTCTGATTATGTAATGATTTACGTTCTAATTTATTATCAAATCATGCTGATGACACTTGATTGACTGTAGTAATCATTGCATTGCATTATCATTGTTATAAATTGTAACTTTATGTTAAAGCTTTTGCAATACTGTAACTACATAATTATAGTCATGCAAATAAAGCTTATGTTGTTGTTGTTGTTGTTGAAAAGAAAAAGTAAATTAATTAAATGAGAAAAATAGGAAGTCAGGGTTAGGTTCAAGTTAGCCAAAGCAGAATTCCTAGACTGTGGAATGTAATAACGCATCGGTCTTTGATTTACTACCTTTTCAAGTCCACTGAATAATATTGATTTTGCCAACATAATCTCTGCAGACCACGCAAGTAAGTGGTCACTGTTGGCCCAAAGAAAGATGCCGACACTTAGAAAATAGAGGGCGCAAGATATCTTTTCTAAAATTTAACCTGTCCGTTCTTTCTGTCGCAATGGATAGGGATTAGATCGGATTAATGTAGTTTTACTGGGAAAAAAGATTCGACTTATCGACAGTATTTTCATGTCTTGAGGCGCTGCTGATAACTTAATGGTCACGTTACTAAGATGCCTTGTTGGTATCTTCAGCTGGTTCAATGTGTATACGTTCTGCACCATGCCAGCAAAACACTGCGCTGTGCTATAGAAGAGTCTGCATAACTAGTAGAGTTATTTTTCCAAAATAAACCTCTTTTTTAAATTTTAGTTCATTGTTCAAGCAGTTAATGCCTATTACTTAACCTCGAGTAGCGCGAAGAGCGTAAAAAACGTGTTCCTCTGGTTACAAAGCACGTTAAAACCTGGTAAGGGAGGGGCAACAACTCGGTTAAGAAACCGTTTCAGCCCAACAGGATTACAAAGGAAGAAGTCACACAGCACGTACGAAAGAATGAGAAAGGATTCGTGCGTGATGCTTGTTGATGATAAGATATTTTTCATTACGACGTACGGTTACTGCTTCGATTGTTAACTTTCAAAAATATTTTTGACTTTCTCATTATATTTCCCTCAATTCACAAAGGGGTCTTTGTGTTTTTTGTGTAACGGGGTAAAATTGACTTTAAATATATCTGTGAGTAATGTATTTTTTCTCTCTATCTACGTAGCTTCCTCCTTGGTAGTACAAGCATTTCAGCCAGCGGTTGTTCCCATAAGAGCCATCACAACACTAACACTTAAAACCAGTGTGGAACTGAATGTGACGTCAAATACCACTCTTCAATGCAGATTTAAAGACATTTCTGTGCCGGCTAGGAAAGAGGATGGTTTTATTTTCTGCGAGACGCCACCAATGAGAAATACCGACAGAGTCCCTCTTTTTCTTGATGTTGATGGACAATTGTTCAAAACTAAAAAACCGCTCTATTTGCACGGTTAGTGAGTCTAAGTAATTAAGGTTGCACTTACAGTCAAGCCAAGAATACAAAACCTCATTTTATAAAACCCTTTCATGTGACAATGTTTTACCGTATTCTTTTGGTGTTGTAGACCTTGTAAACAAAGGTGTAACAACTTGACTTACTAGGAGTAATATATCATACTTGAGGTCAAGCCGGCGTCGTTGCAACTTTCAAGGAAGATTCCTTCAATGGACGACCGCATTTGAGCTTTTTTTATAATACCTTTACTTTAGATTTCTTGTTTTAGGAAAACAAAAGAAAAACAGCGCGAGAAATACGATGTGCATCGCGGCCAGACTTATTTGACAGCTAGTCATTCACAGTTGCGTTATTATTTTTAATTTTTTTAATTAGTAGGCCGGATGGCGAAAACAATGGCTTCCTTGCAGGCGTTTCCCTCCTTCCTCCTAGCTCGCGTGCGGTCTCGCGCCCTAATAGACCTGTTCGGCTAACTCAATGTTGTACCCAATTCAAACCCTTTGGGATTAAAACGTTTTGTTTCAGGAATTTCCATACATTTAAATGAGAATGCCACATTATAATGCAAATAGAATACACAAAGAATCTTAACCCCGGGAGATTTGAATTGGGTACAACATTGAGTTAGCCGAATAGGTCTATTCCCTTCCCCTTCCCTCTCGAACGCTTGCCACGCAGGCTATCATGTGGTTTAAGAAGTTTTTTTTCCACTTATTTTTGCAGACCCGTTCAAAGTATCAAACGTTACCCCTTCATTAGTTTCGCCGGCTCAAAACATCTACTTGACAGTCAGTGGTATTTCTTGTCAAGATTGGTTACAGTATTTCGTCCGGTTTCAAACCGCAAACGGAACAAAAAAGACCCAGCAGGGGATCTGTAAGGATTCTGTTATCTCGTGCTTTGTCCCTGAATTTTCACCCAATACACGGCTTCGGGTTGGCTTGACTCTGAGTAACAGACTGGTGGAGTGGGCTGACAGGAAGATTCTTATACAGTGTGAGTAATCTTCGATACGGGCGATTCATAAAGCCGCTCGAGTAACACCACCCCCATTGTAGCCGCCAAAAAAACACAAACTTTAATTCGGAACTACAAGATGTTACGTGACAAACTCGTGTACGATAACCAACTTCACGATAAACATGGTTTCTAGATGGAATACGAAATACATGAAAATTACAGAAATAAAACGAAAAACTTACACTAACACTTAAAACCGACGAAATACAGAAAATGTTAACAAAGGAAACTTACAAACAGGTGTTAAGACGTCCGGCGGGTACGATGAAAACCGATTACTAAATGTAAAAACAAATACAACCGCCTAAAACTTAGCACAAACGCGGCGAGTACCTTTTCACATGTTTACGACCGCGGGGTCCTGGGCCTAAGTAAAATACCGCTGGTCGGGTAAATAATAAACCGAATTTAGGCATAACCTGGATCTACACCCATCCACCCACCTCTTTTCATGTTTGCTTCGTTTGTGTTCTCAGCCGATGCATATCACTATAATTGTTAATTATAAAGAAAGCGAAGGAGCACAAGCTTTAACACAACTTTCAGAAACTCATTAACATTCAGTAAGCATAATTGTCCATAATATTGACTTCTCGAGACTGAAAAGTCAAGTGGGTGGTTTCACACGCATCACATTTATTCAAACGCAAAATAACAACGTTTACCTCTGGTCCGGGCTATTCAAAGCTGGGTTATAGGATGACGTAGGGTTAAAAAGCAGATTTACTTAAATTCTTTTCGTCTACAATTTGGTGATTGGATGCGCTCAAAAGGAATAGAATGCTTTTGAACAAAATAAAAAGGACAAAAAGAAAACCGGATTAAAATTAAGCCCTTGCACTAATTAGCCTTCAAACAACTGGGCCCTGGCGTAGCGTCAGCTCAAAATTACATATTCGTACATAAAATATAAAAAAGGTTGTATTGTAATTTTACGTAAGAGATAGGAGAAGGGACTTAACTTAAAAAAGGTCTTAAAAAGGTCTCGTATTTTGCGTTGTAGATCCGATAGACGCTATGAAAAGTTGGGTAAAAGACGTGAAAACAGACACTACTGCGAAAGGATCGTTTGCATTCGTGGTAGTACTCAGAGATCGCTTTGGAAATCCCATTAAAGTTATCGAGAGAGACAACAAGAAATCGACAAGGGTATTAGTTCAGTACGCGCCGAGGAATAAACCACAACAAATGACCTTCCTAAAGTGTACCACGACCATAAGGAGTGAAGGGACTGGTGATGAGTTTGAGTTGAGCTGCGCAGGCGCTGAAAAGGAAAGTATCTATTTTTATCCTTCCATAAACAATGTACCACTTGGTGGGAAGGAGAGATATGAAGCTACAACTACCTTATGCCCTGGAAAGAACAGTTGTGAAGGTAATTAGCTTCTCGTGCATAAGGTTTGAGTTATGTATACACTATACCAAATAGCTTTTCGTATCGACACGAACAACAGCAACGGCACAGAAATGGAGCAAGTCGTTTACACACATCTAGGAGGGTCATGCTTTCAAAACCTTTCACCGCCTTTTCTAGCTGCGGGTACGCCAGACTTTGTATGTGTTTGATGAAAGCAATAAAAAAGTGTGTTGAACAGATTTTAGATTGTTCTTCAAGATGGGTGTAATTGCAAAGAGCTTCATTCGATTTAACTCGAATTTTTCCTCACATAGCTGAGTCAGAGACCCCGATACTGGTCATAGTTCTTTCTTGCCTTGGAGCTGTTCTTGTGGTGATATTACTGGCGGCATTTGTCCGTAGCAAAGCTAAAAAGAAAATAACAGTGGTCTCGGAGATGACTAACGAGTTAGAAATGGACGTTCAGCTTCCTAAGGACGACAACGGCACACCGGTAGAGGTAAGAGCTTGTAATTGGAAAATTTGCTTCTTAACTCATATTGAACCAATAAAAATTCCACTCCAAAAAGGTCCTGTGGCGCGTTACAAACTTTGAAAGGCTATTGGATAGTTGTCACATGCGAGCCTGAACCTGCCTTCCGAAGAGGACAGGTGAAGCACGAAGGACGGATATTCCTTTTTAATACTGTACCCTGCCTGTGTTATCTTCTCTTGGAAGGAGAACTTCCACCGATTAGGGTGATCCGCTGGCTCTAACGAATCGTTTCTCAACGCGAATTTTATGAAGGCGCAAAAGTACTAGCCGAGAATGACGACGGCCATCTACCTGCGGTCAAACACGTTGCACATTGCAAAAAGAAATTAATGTCCAAGGAGGTTTCCTGAACAATTAAGGGTTTTATATTCCGATCAGATGGAACATTTAAGGTCACTTCAGTATTATCTCCACCTCACACAGCTTATGAATGCCCTTGCGTTTATACTGGCTTGAAAATATTTTTTTACAGCATTAATTCGATCCTGTGTCAAGAAGCGTCGATGATGTGTAGCGCTCGTAATCCTTCGTCTTTAATCTCCGTCCCCTTTAGTCTGTTACTCGCATGAAAAATACCCTTTCCGTTTTACTTCACCTTTTAACGTCAATGTTTGCTCGCTTGCTTGAGAAGTATTTTCATTACGTATCTTTTTTTTCCAGCTCGTAAATCGGCAAGAAAACTACGCTTTCGACAACAGTGTTGAAGATATCGCAGTAGCCAGTGCAACTCAAGAAAATGTCTCAGAGGATGAAAAATCCAGTGATGAATCAACCACACTGCATTTGAATGTTTCTGGTGCTCTTGAAGAATCCGAACAGGAACCTCAAGCAGAGGATCAAAAGAAGGCAGAAGACGAACCCGAGAAAAAGACTGACGAAACGATTAAAACGCAGGTAAGCTTTAGGATATTTTCCGAGTATAGCCTAATAAAACTGCTGCAGTCATTTTGAGACGTCACCGCTGGTTTCCCCGAGAAATGACCTCCGAGGACCGAGCGCCGAAATACCGGCCATACTGATGGTGTGACTCTACGTAGACCTGAGTAGTGCTTTTGATTGGTTGAAGCAAGTTGGATGGAATGAAAGAAATGTCACGCGTTTTCTCAGGGGGGCAAACAAGTGAAAAACTTTGCCAGTGCGGGTCGAGTTTGTTTATAATATCAAGTTATGGTTGGAAGTGATCATTGTTACCTCTTTTGATGTCCTCACAGCAAACAATAATAATGTGAATCTTGTCGAAACTCGAACTGTACATTTTGCATGACTATTAAATCGTCTTCTCGTTTTGATAGAATATAAAAACTTGACCGCAAATACTCGTATTGGCAAATTTTATCACTTGTTTGGCTCCTAAAATACTCCGTGACATTCCTAAAGTGAGCGCAAAGAGGACAGGCCTATAACTTTGTGATAATTTGAACCAAAGTCGAAGCCGAAGCCTAAGACTTAGTTTTGTTATATTTGAAATTTCTTTCCAGACCAGATCTGGAAAGACATTTTAAATGAACCAAAAACTGGACTTGATATTTAGGCTATTTTCGCTTTGAATTTCCCGCGCGTCACCATTTTGAATAATAATGACATCAATCAATCGTTTGAAACAGTATTTAAAATCCTTTGCATCACAGAATTCTGAGGGTGGATTTATTCACAGCATTTACCATTTTCACATAGACCAAAATGCACCTTATTTACCCCCAAATTTTGTCTCACCATGGTTTCTAACAATGTTTGTTTGTTGTTGGACAGGTTCTCCCCCTTTATCCGAGAGCTAGAGGTTTTTCTCCGGGTGCTCCAGTTTTCCCCTCACCCTAAAAACTAACACTTATCAAGTTCCAATTCGATCTGCAACGCACGGACACGTTTCAACGAGTTCATAAGAACTTCTAAGTGCTCTGTGGGTAGACAAATGATATTACAATTCTAATTTCCCCAGGGTATTACAGTCGTCCCGAAAGGGGTCGAACAAGGTGCATTCAACGGTTGTCTATGTTCTATGTAAGAACCATAATGCAATTTTTGCTCCCCATAAATTTTCATTGTTTTCAATTTCTCTCAGGACTACCAAACGTCTATTAAGTAACTGAAAACAAATCCTTTGTAGGTTTTGAGGGGAAAACAATTGCATTAATTGCATCGTGAAAGTTGCAGTGCATTTTAAATCCCCGCTGGAATTTTTTATTGTCTTTAAGTTGTATAAGCAATAAAAAATTCCAGCGAGAAAAGGCGACAGTTTCAAAACGAATTTGCCCAAAATGTGGTGTGCAAGAAAAGAGAATTTCGCATCAATTTTTTCGGTTCAACTTCATTATTTCATTTGGGACAATTAACCTTACGTATTTGGAACATGTTTGAAACTTAAATACGTATATGTTTCCCTTTTTTTTGCAGAAACCACGACACAAAGAAAATATACAGAGAGGCTTAAAAGAGCTGACCAACATCGACAGGCATGGAGCAACGACATTCTAGCTAGGAAACGATCAATCAGATGGTATCAGTTACAGCTTTGATATCATAGTATATGTACATTACTGAGAAATTAAATTTAGAAAAGCCAACGAAAGAAATGTTGAGCCGAAATAAAAATGAACAGAAGTGTTGGCCGGTTAGAAACTCGTTTCAAAACCGTGTCATATAATATAACAACGAAAACCACATTACTCTATCGACAAATGATAATAACTAACGGAAGGAAAAGACGCAAACTGCTCTTACCATTTTTCCACTCTGTCCATAGATGTAAGTCTTTCCTCCAACAAGTTCTCCTTCTGTAGCTTCTACGGTTTCAATCTGCAGGATCAAGGCGGCAGTTGTGACATAAAAACATTCACTTAAAAAGTGAGTTCGCGCTGTTTTAAACTTCAACGCTGTTCTTTTACCTTCGGGTTCAGTTTGTAAAATGTTGGCGAGTTTTTCTGGAGTTGAATTCTGAAAGATTCTATCTAAGTTCATTAAAAGAGGAGTAAAACCGTGGTCTTGTCAACGTTCACGTCCTGCATAAACTGACGTGCCTGAAATTAGTAGTTTCAAGCTGTAGTCGTGCTTTGATGGCAACGAAAATGCACGAAAAAGCGTGATGCACGTGGAAAGTTGTTGTTTTGCTAATCTTCGGCCTCGGATGATTGCCCTAGATCTGCTGGGTTTGCTGGGTACTGTAGTGCTTGATTGGTTGACGCAAACATGTTTCACCCGAGGCACGACCAATCTGGAAGCGCTACCCAGAGCCGAGTATTGACACGTTATCAGTATGGAATTTCTAAAGTTGTTTCCCCTACGCACTCACTGGTGGGACCTAATTTTTTGGGAAATTCAAAATTACCAGTTAAGTCGTGTATGCGACGATTCTGTTATAACTTGCATTTATTGCATTACGAATCCATAGCTTAATTGTTTGCAATTGAGTGACAACTGAGTGAGCGACTGTTTTTGGAATCTTTAACCACAAAAGGAGAAAACGTTGACATGCACTTTTTCGCCACTCAGGACTACTACTGCGGCATACGGCGCAGGATATATATAAAAAAAGTTTTCCGAGTTATCTGGACCGGTCTTACATCCTTTGATTCTTCCCTGAACAGTATACTGACAATTTGATAATTCTATTGCAGAAACGAAAAGTGAAGGATGAGACATTTGAAGAGAGGATATCAAGATGAAGGCAAAACACCTTTGAATTTACGAGTTTTCCTACGTTGGCATGATTTAAACATCAGCCTCAATGTGTACTAATGGGCTCTAGGAATAATTGTTTTAGTAAAATCCAACGAGTTGGTCAAAAATATCGAGACAAAACAACTTTAGCTAGAAAAACGCGATTCAGCCGCCATTGTTTTGGTTTCCTACGCCGGCGCTTTTCACTACTAGTGCGTTATAACATATAGCCTAGTAGTAGCTCAACTAATCAGAATAAACCACCAGTTGGATTTTACTAAATATAAAAAGACCATAGAAACAAAGTTGTGTGCTTAAAATCCTGACCTTTGAGCGCACGAGAAGCTATAAAGTTGGCTTTGCTTTGATGCAAAACTAACTGCTTTTTAGGGTAACTGTCGGTTTTGCAGAAACCATTATTAGATCGCTGTTGTGTTGTAGGTATTGTTCAGTATCTTTTTAATCTTTTGTATTACGCCATTTGGTGGTTGCGCCCGTTCCAAACATCAAGGCACTACCGCTTTTTATTAAACGTTTGATTTATTCAATCGAGTTGACCACAAACTGCAAGCAGAAAAACAAACTTTACATGTAAGGAGCTCACGTTTTGTACCCGAACAATAGTTTTTATTATAATACGGAGATATTTTAGGGGGATAGTACCTTTTACCTTGGGGATCGCAAAGAACCCATCCTTGCCTATACTCAAAGGCCCAACAGGGGACCGAACTCACGAGGACTTCGAAAGGTCTATCTCTATTTGTAGCTATATCTTTGCTAGTCCCAACGAGAAAAAAACTGAATCCAATGAACAATCACATGACTGACCTGCAGAGAGCCTACTAGGTAGACCTCAGCGCCCAGGTCTCTTACTGGACGACTGTAAATATATGTATTAGACTATCACAAAATGAATAAAGATCATTCTGAAACTTGATGTTTACTTTAAATTATCTTTATTCCAGTTCCCGGTTTACAATTATAACTGACAGCATTACCGTAAACCAAAATTAAGAATTATTTGAAAAATACAAGAATTCATAGCACTACAAACAAAACTAACACAAGAACACAAAAAAGTGCCTCTTCCTGCACAGTCATTGCGAGTTGTACATACCAAACTTCTCTGTAAGAAATACAAATATTTGGCCTACATGCTAGCACTGAACCAAGACATAATCATACTGAAGTTTTTAAGAGGATCTCATAGCTAACCTATCACAAAACTATTCCTGACCGGCAGGGGACTGGACATAGTCACAGACCATGTCACGTGATTTCCGGTTGCCAGACAGACACAGTAACACCAACACACGGCCAGTCAGTACAACTACTCCACTGTACAGTACTCAAATAAAGAGCACGGTATGTCACAAGACCTACAACTGATATATTACGTTAATATACTACACACTAAACACATTTAGGTGCACATCCTCGACAAAATTTAGGGTATGATGATAGAAACCGCCTTGTTATAAACTCCTGACAAACTTTTAGGTCCTCAATAAAATGCTACTTCCAGCTTTCATTCACCACTTTTCAGAAATTTATATACTACAGATGCAAAAGTTTGAACAACCACGTACAATGTAATAACCCTTTGAACCCAAATATCAAAATTCAAATTCAGATTACGCTTGTGCGATCATGTCCTCAATTCTCATAACCACTTTGTTTTATAAAGCAGTGACATTACAATGAGAAATTTGACGCCTATCACTCTTAAAGCTTAAAGGGATAAACAGCACCAAAGGAAAGCACTGTTCAGTAACTTCTATTAAGGGGTCACGATTTAGGACTTCATAGTCCCGATTCGGAATAAAAAGCTCCACATCTGTGTAAACAGCCGTTTTACAAAAACTTTGTTGGTACGAAGTCATCATTTTGTGCGAAAGTGTACGATGTAGCATATTACACAATACTTACACTATACACAAACTAGAGGAGTGGGGAAAGGAGACTTTATAAGAAACCAGGGGGTAGACAGAGTTACAACTCGCCCCTAAATCATCGAGCATTTAGAAACATGATACATCATGTCTCGTACCTGAGTCTCGCACCTCTTTTCGGACTCGACGTACGAGACTGCCGTTATCTTCGATGGAGTGAGAAATTTCAGACGTGCCAACGTCAAGATGAAAAAAGCACTATCTAAGAATTATCTCTGTGCCTCGCCATTTCAGACTAAATCTAAATGTGCTGTACAGAATAAAAACGTCTTGTCGATGAATTTTCGCTAGCCTACCAGTACAATATTTCCAGTGATAAACAACACAAACCAGCACTTGAACTACAACAACGAACAACTTCACTCTTAACATATAACAATAATTCAATCGATAATTAAATAACTTAGATAATTGATTGGTTTTCCTGTATGTACAATTTAAAACAGAAGATATTATTGAGATGATAAACATGTGCGCCGCAATCATTAGAAAGGTTAGAAAGCGGTTTTCAATAAAGTGTTTCCAGCGAAATCTAATTCTAGCCAATCACAACAAAGGCAAATGCGCGATAAGCCAATCAGATCTGGGCGCGAATACAGGTCGTAGCGGCCAAACGCCGCGAGCACGCGTACGGTGCCCGTTGACTCTTCAGGCCCAAAACCACACTTTAACTCAAAAACCTAAGATTTTAGCCCACAAACAAGCCTTCTTTCATCGGTCTAATTAGAGCCGTATTGCGTTTCATTCGAATTTGGACCCTTCAGTTTACATTACAGACGTAACATAGATTACCGGGCCAGAAAAGTTTTCAGCACTTTCAAGGGGCAAAGGCAAAAATGGTCTACACTTCAAGGACAAACAAGTGCAGACGAGAATTCGCTTTCTACAATCTATCGAAAACCGCTCTTCCTCACAAATTAATCAAACTACCCGCGATTACCCTTAAAAGTGATACTCACGTCTCTTGAGACGATTAAGAGCTGCTATACCAACGCTAACCAATCTATTTTATTATTATAAACGACGATAAATTTACATTTAAGCAACTTAAAAAGTAATCACGTTTGTCTCTGTTCAATTATGATATTTACATTAATTTGGCAAAAATTAAAACGCCTTTTTAAACCTAAATATTAAAACACTGACTGTATTTTAAGTGTTCTGTGTATATGAAAAAAAAAACGATGGAAATCAACCGTTTACCTTACGAGTTGGTATCGTACCAAGTTACCACCCAAAACATTTTCTGGATATTAATAATACTTAGAAATTATGCAAATAAGTTAACTTTTCTGGCCAAATGAAGTATTTAACACAAAGCAATCAACCTCAAACGCAAACAAAATGTAAGTGCTTGGTTTGTGTCCAGACTTCTTTACTCCCAGCAACAACTGATAATTTTCGTTAAAATAGTGCAGTGATACACTGAGAAACGTTTGATGACAAGTCAAGGGTGTGTTTTAGCCACCTTTAAGACAGAGGAGACATTTAACTTCACTAGGTCAACAGAGGACAGAGTGAGAGCGCTTATTCCCCAAAAAGGACTTATTCCCTACGAATTCTTCTCACGATATAAATTCAAATAACATTTTCAGTCCAGCTAAAGCCTTAACACAGTTTTCATCCTTTTTTATGAAAAAAAGCAACATTTTTTTTCGTTTTTTAGATCTTGAAAGTTTTGTTGAGAAAATGACGTCACAAAGGACGGAAAATTGCATGGGCGTGACGGACGTGACAAGGCTATTACGTGCGTGTTTTGTCGTGATCTTCACTAACATCAATGTTTTCTGGTCTTTTACAAAAAGATCTGTTTGAAGGAAATTGAAGTTTGGCGAAAAGTTATTTCAAACAAAATTATTGTCACGCTTGTCACAGAAGGTTTGCCGTCTTCTTTCCTCTCCCTTCCTGTTGCGTAAAGTTCACTATTATGGGATATCCTATGACGGCAACTCAAAGAATATTGCCAAGGATCTCAAAACTGAAATAATTGGTATCCTTAAAAGATATTCGTTTCTGCTATTTAACTACTTCGCCATTTTGTCACTAAAAATAATACAAGGGGGATTAAAGGGGGGAATAAGCCCGGTGAGGACGATCGCCATCACGCTCTCCTTTTATCATCTCTTGGTCACAACCCAATGATTCTCTAGCGAGGGAAGCGTTGGGTGATTCCAAGCAATGTGTCAAAAGAGACTAACACATTAGGTGAACCAAACAAGACGAGGCAATACCTACACTTTCTGTTACTCTGCGAAAAGAGAACAATCGTAAGCGTGTCGTTAAATGTTTACAATCGTGTACGTTCCGTGCGCGTGCGGTCTTCGGTAGTTTGCATTGCAACCAAAATGCAGGTACTCTTCAGTATTGAAGATCTTTGGCCACGTCACGGATAAGAGGATTGCGTGACGAGCTGCCGAGTGGGAAGGAAGTTGAGTAGAAATAATCACTACCTCTTCTCTTAAAAGGTTTCACATCCTTTACAACTACAGTATGCAAAGCGATTGAGACTATCGCGATAAGAAAGTACTTGGGTTGAGTTATGTGTACGTTATAACACAGTACTATAGCACAACACAGCAACGGCACATTCTCTGTCGTCCACCGCCTACACTTGGGGGAGGGGTCACGGGTGCAAAGTATTCGTGTACTTTTAGATCTGGTAGATGAGCCTGGGAAGAGAAAACAATTAAATGATGGGCATTATTGCTGCAATACACGCGACAACAGAGCTGAAGGCACGTGAACAGGTAATGAGATAACTAAAAGTACGGGATATTTCACGTCAGCTTTCAGCAGAATTTATAGTTAACTGAGAACACGTGATGAAAGAACACGACAGCACATGATAAGTGAATTGGAAGCAAATGAAAAGTGAACTGATAGCACGTGACAAGTTAATTAAAAGCACCTTACATAAGCTGTGACCACGTGACAAATGAACTTTTTAAAACACTTGTTAAAGGGCTCACAGCACAATATAAGTAAATTGAAACCAATGAAACGTGAGTTGACAGCCCATGATAACAGATAAGCCAACTACAAGTACATGCACTTGATGAATGAGCTGATAGCACCTAACAGGTAAATTGAAAGCAAATGATAAGTACGATAACACGTGGTAACAGGTAAGTGAACTATAAGTACATGCACTTGACAAATGAGCTGATAGCACGTGATGGGTAAATTGAAAGTACGTGATAAGTGGCTGACAGCACGTGATAAATGGAAGAAAAGCAAAGAAAAAGCAACCTGAAAGCACCTGAAGGTTAAAAAGAGTGAAGGGGAGCTGTTTTGTGTGATAAGTTATCAAGAGAATCAGGCGAACAGGAAGTAAAAAAACAGAAAGTACACAGATAATAACATATGCAATAGTTACCCTAAGTTTTCTTGTTCCTGCTTTGGTGATAAGCTGACAATCAAAAAGTTCTACTCTTTTTAGATGTTGGCAATTACTGCAACCCGCAAAAAAAGTAATGTCACCAAAACAATGCCTTTTTAGACGTGATTAAAACTTTGATATGTGCACATTTTTAAGGCAAGGATTAAACATGAGCCGTTTTAAGGGAAAATTAATTTTGCCACTTTTGACCGACGACATCTGGGGAGAGGTGGGGTGCGGAAAAGGGCTCAGTAAACCTCTCCGTCAATCATACATAACGTGCCTTCGGTTGATTGTATTCTGGAACAAGATTGTGTTACATATTTTTGTAACAAATCTCTTGTAACGTGATTTTTAGACCACTAAAACGCAACAAACGCTGGAATATTTTATTTAAAGGAGATTTCTAGACATTGCAATGCAATGAATGCCAAAACATATGATTTTTAGAGTTAATTCCATTTATTATTATTCCGGAATCAATCACACTCGCCCTAAAAAAGATTTAGATCCACTTGAATGAAACTTCATAAAGTCAAGGTTTTCATTTCGACAGATACTTACATTAAGTAGTCTAAGGCATTATCTGTGATAAGAGGACAGTTATCCAGTTCTAGTTCTTCAATGTGGTCCACAGCACAGGGGCTTCCACAAAAGTGTCTGATGCCATCGTCAGTGATCAACTCACAGTGAGAAAGACTCTAAGCAAAGGTAAAAAAGAATTTCTTCATCATTTTCTCTTCCTCTCAAGACCAGCCTCGTTCCCAGGTTCTCTTTCCTCCATAGGGACGGGTAGGAGAGAACCCTGGGAACAAGGTTGCCTCAAGACCTTTGCATGTAATTTAGCAGTTGTTGGTAGATGTTGGTCACTCTTGGATTTGAGGATTAAAAGTTTTTGGTTGAACTTTACTTCTTTGGTATTTCTCTACTTTATCAAAGCTTCATTTTTTGATTTTCTTCAATTTTAATTTTTTTTCTTGGGAGTGTGTATGTGTGTCTCTAAAATATCATTACGACAGTGCTCCTTTAATCAAGTGTACATGTTAAAATGTAATAATGACTCACAAGTTTCTGTAGGCCCGAGCACCAAAGAGACAAGTGATTCAAAGTTGAGTCCGTGATCTACAGGCAAAATAAAACATAAAAAAAGAAACAAGTTATTTTTTCCAGCACTAGCACTTAAGCCTTTAAGCCCCAGTATCCACATACAAATTCTCCAGACTGATCTCCATACATTTCTTTTAAGAACAGTTGAGAGAATTTGGTTTAAGATCAAAGCATTTTCCCTTTGCTAATCAATTTAGTAATTCTCATAACCTTTACTCTTGATGATCTGCTGATGTTGTCCAGAGAAAGTTGATGTTGGTCACCATTGGGACCTAAAGGGTTAACGCTTACAACTTTACAGTAAAACCCCTATTTAGTAGCTGTGGACCACGGTCTGTTTAGTGACCAGTTACAGAGCCACAAATAAAATTTTTCTTTCTTGAAAGGGCATTATGTCCAGCTAAGTTAAAATCTTGCTCGGGCAGAGCAAAAATGTGGTTGGATTCAGATCTCTTTATCATCATGCAGCAGTTTGGTATAAAGACTTCTTTCCAGAAGTGTCAAAGGAATAAGGATCTCACCAGAACACATTCTTCCAAATCCAAACGCTGAAGTTTGTTACAGCCCTGAAAAGAGTCAAAGAAACACCGAGAATTCTTAAAACAGGATGTTTGTCACAACACTGGTCATTATTATTATAATCATCATCATCATTATTATCACAGGGTTGTCACTAAGATTTCTAGTCGCAGGATACATACAACAAGTGGGCAGGGGATAAAAAAGCTAGGGATTTCTTTTGGTTCTATTTTTCTTCCATTTTCCTATGAAAGTAGCCAAGGGCCACATTCTTAGCAGCGGGGGAAAATCCCCAGCCCCTGCCTCTTAATGACAGCCCTGTTATCATCATCATCAGCGTCATCACTGCCATCACTATCATTTCCCATCATCATCATCATCACATAATAGTTAAAACTAATCACTTAGTAGGGTTAACAAAAATAGCATGAATTATTGCATAAAATTATTACATGTGTCCATAAATTTTAGTCTTGTCTAAGCAAGCCTTTTGAACTAGAATTACTACACATTCAAAATACCTGGTTATTTCAAGCTACAAAGTTTGTTACACCTAAGAGTCTTACCCTACAAAGTGCTTGAAAACCAGCATCTGTAAACTGTGAGCACTGGGCAACTTCCAGCGTCCTGCGAGAAGAAGAAATGGTATAAAGCATGATGATCACTATTTTCTAACCACTAAATGATAGCAATATACATGTAAATGTACTTAGCGCCCTTAGTCCGGATCCTAATGAAGTTAAACCCAAAAGCCCAAAAATTGTCCCAGTTGCAACTCCTCCTTCTTTGTCTATCTTAGTGCACCTGCCCACCGTCCTTTCTCCAATTTTCAATGCCTCTTTCTTCAAATCAGTTATGCTAATGTTTTCCCCCACTCCTGTTGTAAACTGGGTGTGGCTTCTCCCATAGTGTACCATCTCCTAATTGCCAGACCCTTTTTAAACCCTCATCTGCATCAGTGTCCACCCCCTCGCAGACGGAATGTTGCACTCACCTGAGCTCATGGCTCCTGCTCCCCAGATACTGAAGTGATAAATCAGTTAACTGTATACAGCCAGATACGCAGAGTAATGAGATATCACTACAGTGTTCACTGATTGCCTTGATTGAATTATCCTTTATGTTCTAATGGGACAAAGGAACAACATCAAATGTGTAACATAAGCAATGTTGTCAAGAAACCCTTGTTAGTGCAGCTTTTATACTTGAATCACTCAGTTGAGCATGTATAGAGCATTTAAGCCTGTTCCAGGCTCCAAGATAGTGGAGAAAGCTGGTCGAGAATAGCTGTGTGAAAACTGCATGGGAGCTGGGAAGAGATGGAGTAGGAGAGTTTGTAAGCATTGTCTTCAATAACTCATTCTGGTATACCAGCTCCCAGGATACCCTATGATTGGTTAAACACTTTTGGCCTCCTGTGATCAGAGTCTAACAAAAATGTCAAGCATTGTGAAACCCTCCTAACCACAACATGGGAAGTTTTGATACGTTGACACCACAAATGTTTTTTTTTCAGGAAGTAGGCAGATTGAGGTACTTAAAAAGATGCTCACAGACTCTTCCCTGCTCTCTTCCTGCCATTTTTTGCTTGTTCCCTGTTTCACTGCCCGCTCGTTTTTTTGAGTGTCTGCACTGAGACCCCAGCACAGGCTAAGGGTGTTTCAATCACTCACGTGGCCAGCATTCAACAATGAAATTAATGAAACAAAGGAAAGAGAAAGAAAGAAACATGGCTGCTGTTTCCCTACTTTGGAACTCCTGGGATGTCCTGTGAAAATGCTCTAATATGCTCATATTCTGAATACATGTGCATTTTGTTCATTATTTTTCCTACATCTTGAAACAGCGAGTTTGAATCCATTCCGTCCAAACATGAAAAAAAGCACCTTATTTTAGAGTTCACATATGTATTTAGCACAAAAGTACTAGGGGACAGCATTTTCGTCCCTCTCTTCAGTCGAGCACTCTACAGACTGAGCTAATCCTGCCACAGCACAGAAGTGTACATAAATTACCTCACATGATGTCAGTTTGATTGAAAGTAATTTAGGGCAGCTTTTTGTCAGGTGATAGATGCCTTCATCTGTCAACTGTGAAAAGAACAGTTTTTCAAAAATTGTCAAGAACTCCACAAATAAATTGACTCTACAACAACACTAGGTAGTCATCAACGGACATTCAAAGATTTTTCGTAAATAAGGCAAGCACTGTGACACCCAGTTACCGCAAATCCTCTATTATGCCCCTGGGGGGGGGCTTATTTGTTTCCTACCCATTTGAAGGGGGGCTTATTTGAGAGGGGGGGCTTGTTTAATTTAGCAAAGATGATGGTATCGGTTCTCCTAAGAGAATTAGAATACAAAGTGGAAAAGTTCTAGTACAAGAAGTTGGAGGTCATGCAACCAAAAAACAAAAACAAATCCAAACTTCCAGCAGGTGAATAAACCATCCCATACATGTATCAGTAGATGCGAAGTTTTACAGTCATGATTGATTTATACAGTCTATCATTCATTAGTGAACAATAATAAGGAGGAGGGGAGGGGGTTTAAAAGATAGTCCATGGCTTCCAGCCAAGATCCAATCCAAATGAATTCTCTCTCTCAATGCAAAGTGGAAAAACATTTTTGTTGCATAGGAATGAATCAAAGGAAAGCCTCTCCTGTGGAAGGGATTTTTTTCTAAGACCCCTGCCCACCTCCCGTGAAAATTGTAGGTAAACTTGGAGTCTGAGCCCTCCTCATCCCCCCAGGAATTTCCAATTCGTTCTGTGGGGGGTGGGAGGGGGGAGGGGAGCGGTAGGGAGATTTTCTAGAACAACACAATATAATATACACATAAAGGGAATTTACCATTAGTGACAAAAACTCAAAACAAGCTTACACACAACAATGAAGTATGTGAATGTTAATGGCAAACCAGGTTTGTTTTCTTACCAAGCAGCACCCTTCCGCTATAAATATCAGAAGGTTCTTGCAGCCCTGGGAGAGTAGTTTGAGACCATGGGAAGATATCTGAGTACACCAAGAAATATTTATATGTTCCAGCTTGGTGCAGCCTTTACTGAAAGACCAAAATAAAAAAATGATGGAGCAAAGTCAACTGTATAAGATGGCATCTGCCGAGAACAGACACCAAGTCAGTTGGTCCCTGCTGTTTAACAATCTTCATTCTCTAATGGCAGGCACCTCAAGAGTCACCTGGTGCCACTTCCATTAAAAGGTGCCTACCTAAGACAGGGCTGTCACCCAAAAAGGGGCAATGGGGAAGGGGGTGGGGTTGGGGGTTAGTCCCTAAAGAAATTTCAAATGGGGAGGCTCTGCCAAGAGATCCAATCCTTTACCCTTTTACTGCATATACCATTTTTGACAGAAAATGTTCACATTAAGTACACATTCTGTTGACAACGGTAGCCCTTTCAAATAAGTAGTTTAGAATTTTGCATAACTTTCAAAAGCTGTCAATTCACTGTCTTTTAAAATACAACTAAATCACACAACAGAACGTTTTCTCAACTTTTTCACAGCCACAGAATGGATCTGTTAGCTTTTTTGGGCCTTTTTTCATGTTACCAGGTATAATTAGTAGGAACAAAGTTTAAAAGCTGGGAAGCAGTAGGTAAGATGTTGAACAGCCGGGAAGTTCTTTTAGTTCTTTATTTTTTCTTTGTTTTCTATGAAAGTAGTAAGAGGGTCATGCTCATACAGATGTAATAGCCAGGGAAATCCCTGGCCTTGGTCCTTCACGACAGCCCTGTTTATAATAAAAATCAAAGAAAATAAATTAGGAAGTAAAATTTTCAAGATTTCTTCAAATTTATAAAACAAAACTGAGGAGGATACAGTACGTACTTCCACCTTTTAATGGAAGTTCACTGCTTTCAGATTTATCCAACCGCAAACCACATATTAGAAAACAAAAATACAGCTATGGACTATTGTCACCTATTTGTAAAGTAAAATAAACAGCAAAGAAATCTTACAACCAGTGAAATTACCTTAAAGCACTAAGTGAGTTATCAGTGACTTGATGACAAGAAGACACATCTAATCTCCTGAGACGTCCACTGTAGTTACTTAGACTAATGGCAGTGCTGTAAATATTGATAGAAAATGGTCAGCTGTGTTTAATAGTAATACAGTAAGAAAAAAATACAAAAGATTGATTGCACCTAATTTATTCATGGCCCCAAGGAAGCTCTCCTTAGCTTGCGACCACTCTCTTACGCGACCGGCTCTAGTTGTGACCACCTTTGTGAAACCTGCTTGAACTGTGACTTAAACTTTGCAATGAAAAGCTTTCATAAGTGACCACTCCTGTAATTAGTGACTGCGGAGTCTTATTCATATAAACCTACACTTAAATGATACTGCACACTGCACTAATGGTCCATTGATAAAGATCTTGGGGAACTATTTTGGTCTAAAAAATTGGAAGTAAAGTTTAGCCATGTCTATATCAGATGTATAAAGACACTGATTGATCATTAATTTCTTTTGTTTTTTTTTTTTTTAAGTGAATTATTAAAGAGGTTTCTGAAGCTCTTGTAATTAAGCAGCCACCCTCTATAGTTTAAACATGTGGTCTCTTACGAGAGCTCATTCTTGTAAGCAACCAGCTCTCGTTACCACCACTTTTTTGAATTTCCAAGGTGGCCTCTTATGAGAGCTTTGACTGTATACACATTCACTCAGGCCTGAAGGTGCAGCATTTTGACTGCTTCCTGCATTAAGTCTTTATCAGGCAATGGTGTATACTTATTAAATAAATGCAGACAAATAATATAAATAAGCAAGCAATATGATGACTTACGTATCTGATATTCTTTTACATCCCTCTAAACATAATTCTTCAATATTTTTACACTGCTGAGCAAATATTCTGAAATACCCAATCATAAAATTATTGTTACCATATTTTATTTTATTAATTTTCATTTAACAAAAAAGTGCTGAAAAACACCATCCCAGCACTTAAAGTTTCCATTTCCAACAATATTGTGTTTTCATAACTGAGTGACAAGGCCACTCAAGTGACTAATGGAAAATCCAGTATTGGGAGCCTTCATTTATTACAACCTGGAGGGGGGGGGGGGGGTGGCAAAATACTGCAAAATATTTCATATCCCCTCCCCCATCTGCAATAAGCAAAAAAAATAAAATAAAATAATAATAATAATAATAATAATAATAATAAAGTGAAACCTCTATTAAGCGGACACCTTCGGGACCTTAATAGAGGGTGTCTGCCTAGTAGAAGTTCGTAAAAATTGCGCAATATTTGTTAAAGATTAACATTCACTGGTTACTCTGTACTGTGATACAGTTCCATGAAGAAGTGCTGTACTGTGGTCAAGACTTTTAGGTGAACTTTGATCATAGATGACAATCATATGGCCGGATATCGCTCTAATCTAAAGTTTGTTGATATCTAAATGTATTGATTTATCTTTATTAATCAACTGCAGTACATCTTTCAAGGACGTAATCCAATACTACCATTGTCAATTCTTGTCCGCTCAAGAGGTTTTTAACAATAGAAATTAGCCAAGTAAAATCTATTTTAATGTCCACGTCCACTTAATAGAGGTGTCTGCTGAATAGGTGTTCGATATGAAGGGAAATATAAGATGTTAATTTCGGGACCCAGCTTAGGGTCCCCTTAATAGATGGTTTCCGCTTAATTGGGGGTCCGCTTAATAGAAGTTTCACTGTAATAATAATAATAAATAAAATAAATAAAGAAAATGAAAAATTAGTACACAACCCTTGACTTCCAACCCTACAAGGTCTCCAAAAACTTTGATACTCTCCCTGAAGGGTTCAACAAAATAACCAGTCCCAACAGTTTTCCTCAACCCCCCTCCCCCCCCCCATTACATAGTAAATTGAAGCCCCTGTAACAAGTTATCTGATGAGTGTAAAATTACCTTAAAGCCCCATCTCCTACACTCTTACAGCCTTTAAGGCTTAAACTCTTGAGAAATCCTACACATCGTCTTGCCAAATTAAGTATTACAGTTTCCTATAAAATAAAGCACAAACAAGAGCATCATGAGAGTCCTCATCAATACTTCAATATTAATAAACGAGGTCAAAAACCCTTTGTGATGCTTTTCATGCTAAATAATCTATTTCTGAAAATGACAAATTGGCCTTTGACCAGGTCGCGAGGGGGGGAGGGGGTAGGCGGGAGGGTGGAGGAAATGGCAAAAAAAGGGTGACACAGCAAAAGGATCGGCTCACGGGGTGGATGTTGTCGGCTGGGGAGGGGGAAAGGTTGTGTTTGAATACACAGGGACTATCAGGAATCTTCAGATTATTTTGAATACCCAAAAAATCCCATCAAGCCACCCAAAAAAATTCTTACTAAATTTTCCTACCCAAGAAAATCCTGGAATCAAAAATTTTAAACCCAAAAAATCCTTTGATCATCCCTGTCACTTGGAATTCAGAGTATCCCCCCCTAGGCTTAACAGAAACCCGCTTAATATGGCCACCTTGTTATTACTGAGAGTGTGCATTGTCCTTAGAGAGGGCCCTTCCTTAACACATGTTTCTCTAAATTCAACCAGCTTAATATGGACACCCTGTCAATACCAACACTTTCCACGGCCCACTCATTGTTCGTATTCATGGGGTTTGACTGCATATATTCCTTTTGATTCCTATGAAAGTACAAGCTAGGCTTTATGCTCATTTACTGTAGTAACCAGGGGTAATCCCCAACGTGGTGACTGTCCTGTATATACCGTAAACTTCCGATTATAAGCCCCCCCCCCCCACTTCAAAGCCCTCCCATTTCTAGGCCTATCTACCTGTAAACGAAAAATACATCTGGTTATAAGCTCCCCCTCCCCCCCACCCGAATATAAGCCCTTGTCTACCTTGTATTGAAATGGATTTGACTTGTTATGACATTTTGAAGCTTAAAAAAGCGATCAAATTCAAAACGTATTCTGATCAGCACTGTTATTTTGAAACACTTTTTTTAGTCTGGTTATAAGCCTCCCCCCCAATTAAAAGCCCCCCCCCCACATTTACGAGCTCTCTTGGACACGGTCAGCTGATGCAGATGCGCTTTAGATACCATTTCTTAGCTGCTTTGCATGTCACACGACACTCGCATGAAACAGCAGGTGAGAAGCTTATCCGGACTACTCAAAACAAACCTTGAAGAGCTGAACTAGTTACAAGCCCAAATCGTGATTATAGACCCTAAGCCACATCAGAGCACACATTTTTTATAGAGCATTGAGAACTCACCAATGGATTTGTCCAGGAAAAGCCAAACAGCTACGAATACTCCAAATATAATGTAACCTTTTCCATCGATTTTCCAAATACATATTACGATTATTTGCTCGCCAATGTTATTGATTCATTTCTTTTGTTATTTTGGTAAACAAAAGCGATTTCTCCTGCCCGGCAACTATGCGTTTCTCGTCAGCGCGGTCCCATAGCTGACTGTGTCCCTTTAAACCCCTTATCAAGTCGTATGAGGGCTTATAATGGCAAAGTTTACTGTGTGCTTATGTTGCTGCACTGTCGCTTGTTTGATTTACCACTACCTTGTATATACATGTACACCATAATAGTGTATTGGTTTTTGTAGAAAATGTTGTACCTCTATGTCTGTTTGAAAGTTCATCAAATCCACTCTCTGCCAATTACTTCCATCCAGGGCTAAAACATTCCATAGCTACAAGAATTGACATTACGTGAAGACAATAATATGTTATATGAAACCCTAAATTATTACACACTCTTGGTATAGTACAACACTGAAATCAAAAGCATCTTACCTTTGAAACCTGGGCACAGCGACACAAAGTGACTACATCTAGAAATGAAAATATCCTAACAAAAAAAAGGATATCAAGATGAAAAAAGAAATCTCCTTTAACTCACAATTAAAAATTAATAGTTTCTGTACATTTATAAACAGTACATAATATATCCATAATTCATTAAAGATTACATTTACTTCAAATCAATTGATTACCGACAATGACCTTAAAGGCTATTTTGTGGCAACATGGCAACCAACTAAAAAAGTCATTGTTTTGATATTTGCAAAATATATGCCTCACAGACATGCAAATTTGCAATGCAGTTATAAATTACGGTCAGGTGTAGAAAACACAAAAACCGCACTTACGATCAATATCGAACTTCTCTAGGCGAACCAATAAAGATGAATTTTGTGGATCTTAACTTAGAAGTACTTCTTCCGCTAACCTTATTTAGTTTTAAAAAATAATACCTTAAAATAAGTTCCTTTGGGAGCTTCTTGTTTATTAGAGCTTGATCCTCATTTGTGTTGAAATTGTATAACTGAAACAAGAATGGAAATATTTTAAACACTGAGTCTGGTCGAGTGGTTGTCAAAACAATTGCCTCTTTCAGATGACAGCTAGTTCCGAGCGAGTTAAATTCGAGGTATAATTTAGGCTAAAATACAATCAAGGTTATAGATATCAAGTCACAGTTGAAGTGCTGCATTAGAGCAAATAACACCTGTTTCAACGCTAGCGGACAAGGAGGATATATCATAGCTAGTCATTTCGGTATAATTATGCTCGTGAGTGCATTTAAGCTGTCTGGAAAGTCTTCAAAACACAACAATTGATAGCTGCCATGTTTTTCAGGCACGTTTAAATTCTGAACAGCCAATATTCAGAAGATCTCCACAAAAAACGCCCATGTATTTCTTAAAAAAATGTTTCATGCTCTCTCTAACTTAAGCTTAGGTTAAAATTAAAAAGGGCCTTTTCTAGTTTCTAAAATTAGAAAAAATGTTGCAGCCAAAATTGTTATAATGGACAAAAAAATATTGTTTTTGGATCGGAGCCTAATGAAAAACGTGCGACGGTCTACCATAAATGAAAGTGTAAACTCGATCGTGATCTATAACAAAAGTGAGGAGTGAGAAAAATCTAGAACAGAAATACAGAATTCCAGATTGAGTTAAGTTGATCGAGAGGATATACAGCTGAATGGCAGCACACTTTCATAGCTAGAGAGCCCATTCCAAGTCTGAATGATTTTGCCACCTTGAAAACAGCACAGATTTTAATACCAGGGGATAGCGACAGCAACGAGAAATGTTTTTTTCAAATAATTTTCATTTGCACATTGCACCAATAGCGACGGTCACGTCCTTCAAACAAAACAAGGAAAAACAAAATATTCTAGCAAAACAACGATAAGCGTAAGCTTTCGTGAGCGAATGAAGGACAGGAAATGCGCCAGACATGAAACCAGCAAGAAAGAAAAAGGCGAGAATGCCCGTAAATAAACCGATAATTCGCAAAAGGTTAAAAGGAATGAGCAATATCGCATTTCAAGAAAAAATGAAGTGAATATTTTCAGCACCGAGGAGAAACGAATGGCAAATCCATTGTTTATTGTAGTCGCTTGCCAGTGCCGACCAAAAACACAAACCTTCGACCAAGAAATTCGAACACTCACCTCAAATCGGCTTCTAGAGTTTACCCTTGAATGTGAATGGTTGTAGCTTGTATGATTGGTGTGGTTAGAGCACATGAATTTCGCATACATTCACCTTGTTCACACAAATCAGCCTTTCGCAGAGCTCCGAGCTCTGTGTGTTTTTTGTTTTCTTGGTCCAGATGCTCCGCGCAGGACATTCTGGGTAATGATTTCTCACTTCCGGTCCCTACCGACAGGAAGCACGTACAGTTGTTCATGCGAGCCAAAGTCAGGAACTTTAAAAAGGCAAACTTTATCAATCGCTAAATACAGCAAATGAAACTCAATTAGCCGAAACTAAGTCGATTTTCGTGTAAAAAATCCTATAGCTTTACAATAAAATACGTTAAAGGTCAAATACATAAATTTAAAATCCCCTGGCACGTGCCTGCATAACATCAACGTATCACGCCACTAACGAAATTTTATTCAGCACACCACTTCCCTTTCGAAAGGCACATGACTTTCCGCTCGCTGTCTGAAGGAATTTAGTAGGAGTTCAAATAATAAAAGGTTAACAAGGGCATGTGCTCATTCTCCGTTCTTTTTGTAAGTTAACCAAGGAAAGTTCCGGTTTCTATGGGCTAACCAGCTGATAGAAAATATATATTGATTGTCCAATTTCTGTACTACACGGAGCTAAATATATAAACAGTTGCCAAAAGCAGGTGAATGTGGCACGCTCTTTTGTTTGACAAAGAACGCGCTATAATGAACATTGAAAACTGAATTTAACCATTTTTGACCCTGTGGACGAAACCGGGGAACGTAAGCCTATGGTACAAGCACGTGAGACCTCTTTAATAGTTTTCAGTATTTTACAAACTAAAATTTATGATTTATCTTAAATTTTGACGCGAATAGAAGTTTAGGCACGAACTAATTGATATCTGAAGTGGACGGTTGATCTTGATTAGCACATTTTTTTCTGTCAATAGAAAGCTTGGAAGGAAAAATGCATGGGGGATGCAAGTCTTTCTAAAACTGTGCCGCCCCAAGAGTCTTCTGCTGTTCCTACAAATTCCTTCTAGTAGATACGGAATTTTTTTTTCTCTGCGTTAGTTTAGAGTGTTGCACCTTTGCTTTCTCAAAATCACCCCACCTACAACTGTTACCCTTTTAAAGTTGCTTGTTTGTATTCTATATACAAAATAATTGTGGTTAATTTTCACGAAGTTCTTGTTCCGCTTACACTTGGCGGCAGCGATATAAGCACCTGGCTGAGGTAAAATACCCTATGAGCGGCATTACCACGAGCCCGTTAAGTTAACAGACTAAGCAAGAAAACCAGCACGCGTGTTACACTACATGCCCATTATGGTTTGAGAGTTCACTTCCGTTCAGTTCAGTTCTGGTCGGCACTCGAGAGCATCAGCGGGACTGTTATGTCGCCAGTGTGTTTTAATAATTTACAACCATTCAAACACGTAACACATTTTCTTTTAATATTCTCATTTTCATACAGTTTTATTTACACAGAATTAAGCCCTGTAAAAAGGGAAATAAGATACGCTTGAAAGGTAGTTTGGTTTCACTTCGAAGAGCTTCCTTCAACTCTTTCCAAGTTCCTTGACTTTACTGAGAAAGAATCGTTCCACGGTGTTCGCGCATTTGTAATACTCAGTGTCGGGAGCATTATACGTTCGGCAGTTGGTGAAAATCCTCATCATATCGGCGGTAAAAAGTTTTTTGGAGCTAAAATAACCACTCTTTAGTCTCTCGGTCATTGTACGCAGATCTGAGGAAAAAGGAAAAAAATGAAGATGTTCACTTCCTCAATAATGATTGACTCAATTTGAAAACAAGAAAAACTAAAACACTGTTCCCTTGTGATAACCAGTAAACGTTTCAACGGGTAGACCCTGCTAGCGCAATGCAAAGCTACAGGCCAGTCTTTAAAGATTTTATCCTCAAACAAACACGTTGAGCGGCGATGTACAACTCAAAGAGAACAATACTACAAGAAATAACGACTCTGACCCTGTACACACGATTTTACTTGAACCGTGAAACAGATAACAAATAGTGCAAAAATAGCGACGGGTAAACAAAAGAAGACAACAGAATTGGTGCATAATAGTGAGTAGTATTCTACTACCTATTACACGGTTCAAGTAAATCAATCTATTTGTTTACCAGGATTCTTGTGGACGACGCCTTAACCCTTCAGACCCTAAGATCAAAATTTGAATTCGCGTTTGTTGCCCCCATTCATTTTCCACCAAAGTAGTGGAGAGAAGTTGATAAAATATCAAGCAAATTCATCTTGTGTGATAATGTCCGTAATTCTCATGACCACTCTGTTTTACAAAGCAGTGATATTACAAGGAGAAATTTGATGCTGATCATTCTTAGGGCTTAAGGGGTTAAACCGTTTTGAAGAGCGGTTTCAAAAAGATGGGGTTCGGTGAGCGGATTCACTGGTTTCAAGTAGACCGCGTGCATGGAGAGAAGGCCGATTGGAGTAAAAAAATATGCGGTTTCAAAAACATGTGGATTTATATGGATTGCGCCTAAAAGGTTCTTATTTGAACAAACGCTCTTAATGATTTCGACCACTGACTCAAACGTTACCACCACTATGAACAGCACAACTAACAGTACTTTAGAAAACTAGTGCTTCATAGCTTTCACTCAAAAAGGTCACATTACAGAATTTCATCCACAGCCAAAAAGTTTGAATTACTTTGTGCACCGTGATAAACAGTACCACAGGAAAGTACTACCCTTTAGCTCTCACTTTAATGGCTACATGAATTAAAATTTCAGTGGCAACCTCAAAAGATAGAACCACCCTGTACGGTGTATGATAAACAGTACCACAGAAAAGTACTGCTCAGTAGCTTTCATATGAATGGTAACAACATAGGATTTCATCCACAGACTCACAAGTTAAAACCACCTTGTACCACAGGGAAGTACTGCACAGTACAGCACAGTCGCTTTTATGTGAATTTTAATCTTCCTGAACTCACACGATTCACCTTGCTTACAATGAGAAATAGCAACCGATATCAAAGTAAGGCTCCCATGTGTTAAATATCATCGCACGTTGGGATTTTAACGGACTTAACCACGTTTTATATATGGAGGTGAGAGAAAGGGTGTATGTTGTAGTTAATTTTTTTTAATCTCAAGTTTCCTTTGCTTCCATTTCATTAGCATACATTACCATACTCAAAAACAAAAATTACCTGAGATAAAAAATTAACTACAACATATATCTCGACAGTGACAAGCTGGAGTTAGATTTACTGGGCGAAATATCATTAGTTAACCACGTTTATTGAATCTCACGGCCGTAAACTGATAGAGAGGAAATGACTGAGTAAATCTTTGAAGTTAACCAAAAAAAAAAAAAAACGAGAGAAAAAGACCACAACGATAACCACCTGTAGGTAATTAATCTCAAACCCCTTGTGTGAGTGCACAGCATGGCTACAACAGAACACAATTTACACTGCTTGCCAGAGACTGCGGAACAATTGTTTTTTTCTTGTCAAGCGTGCTAAATATGTAGAATTATGTCTACTTAGGTGAAAAGGTTACACGTGCCAATTTCGTGGTCGTGTGCCCGTCACTATCGCTCCAGGCCTTTCCGGCCGTCTTGGAATCGTCTTTGACGAGCCTTAAGGATTTGTTTACAGTTGTGGATATGAGAACGATGAATTCGTTTATAAACTTAACAACTATGGGAACTTTTAACAAAAAATATCCGTTTAAGGTCGTTTCGCCCAATGTAAGATAATCCGGGTTCCAGAATTAGAGAAATTGTTGCGGGTGGAATCTGGAATTCAGCTCAAGGAATCCATAACCGGTAGTTTCGAAAACGAAGCACTCGAAAACGAAGAACGAAGCACGAAGCACGAAGCACCCAAGACTCGAAAACGAAGCACCCAAGACTCGAAAACGAAGCACCCAAATCTCGAAAACGAAGCACCCAAAACTCGAAAACGAAGCACCCAAATCTCGAAACCTGTCTGTCCTTTAAAAACACTAGACAGTCCCTTGTCAAGTCACCAATGCTAACACAGCAGAAATCAAGCACGATAACGAATAGAATGCAGTTTAAAACTATTCAAGTAGAACTACGAGATGCCGTCGCCCTGACTATTGGCCGTTTTGGAGTTGCGTAGGGCACTGGGGCGAGTATCAGATTTAAACTAATAGAGAAACTGACACCACCGTATAAAAAGGACATGTTGAGATTGGATATTTGACCAAGTTTGGTGCTTTAAGGTTGAACAGGGATCCATCTATGACTCTTGAAACATGGTTAAAGATCCATACAAACTTCTGTAATTTTGTGACAAAAAAATCTTAATTTTTTTCGCGATTTCTGTGATATTCCTGAAAATAGGCAAACATAATGATTTTCGAATTAGTTCCCTCCAGGTAGTAGATGCATGACGAATTTTACTGTTTAACAGGAAAACTGAAAAATATTTTAAAGAGTTTATATGAATTTTTTTTTGTCGTGGGGAGGGTGCGGCTACACGTAGGCTACCTTGACGAAGGTATGGGTCGCACTACCTTGTGGTAGAAATCTGTCATCGGTGGACAATGCTTAGTGCGAGCCGAAGTTTCCTTTGAAAGTCGGCAAAAAGATCAAAAACGCCTTAGTGCTTGTGCGGGGCAGGCAGATTTTGGAAAACTCGCGCTAAACAATATAAGGAATGACAGCGGTAACAGTCAGCACTTGTCAGTCTTGTCAGTGAAACGTGATCAATTTGAAACACGTTCAATCGCTGCAGAAATAAACGTGCTCGAATGTTCAGACCTTCGTGCTTTCGTGGACGGAGGAGGGAACTACTATTTTAAGGCTTTTACGCATCCGTTGCCTTCACCTGGTTTGGCTTGCGTCATGCAAGACTTAAAGTTGTAGGTCCTTCAACCTACAGTGGTTTCGAGATTTGGGTGTTTCGAATTGGAGTTTTGGGTGCTTCGTTTTCGAGTCCTGGGTGCTTCGTTTTCGAGTCTTAGGTGCTTCGTTTTCGAGATTTGGGTGCTTCGTTTTCGAGATTTGGGTGCTTCGTGCTTCGGTCTTCGTTTTCGAGTGCTTCATTTCCGTAACCCGTTAACTATTGAAATCTAAAATCCAAGCTCAACTGACAAGAAATCCAGAACCCAGTAACGCTGAGAAATACTTTCATAGATTTGTACACGTTACTTTTTTCCTTGGCATATAATTATAACAAATCAATTAACAATTTGTTCCTCGGGAAACTGGTTAATTTTGTTTCTCAGAAAACCAACCATCAGAGACCTTTAGATTTGAGGACGAGGCTTGACTTCGAGTTTTTGTTGCATACACCACAATGTATTCTCAAAACATAGACACCCTGGAAAGCTTCATTTCAATTTATTCACCAGAAAAGTTTACATGGTTATTCTTATTGAAGGAGATTAAGCCCTCTCTCGATCGCAACACGATAGAAATTTTTCATTTCATAACCTGTTTCCGTCACTACGACAATTTCACTTAACCCGTGGTAGAATGACGACGGCTATCTAGTTTTCCTGCCAAAATGACGCTGGTTCAAGCGTGCCTACTTCTTAGTATTGAGAAACTCTCGTCCCCGTAAGGTCTCTATTAAAACGCTTACGACAGGGAGGTCTAAACCGGAATTCACACCATTATGTTTCAACAAAACACTAACACACAATACGTTGGTGCTGAAAATAACTCACCCATCGGATACTTGATGTGGTCATAATAATCTGGTGCCTCCGAGATTTCTACAGGTCTTTGGAAAGGCCACGAACTAGCATGGTTCTGTTAATAGAATAGAGGAATGAAGGATTGTTACTAACTTAGGCTTTGTTCACACTATTTCGGATAGCTTTTCGCCTCGGCACGACATAAACAACAACAGTCTTTCATTCACACTATTCAGGTACAAAGGTGAAGAAACAAATGAGAATATAAGAAACTATAGAAAACAAATTGATAGAAATTATATAACTATATGTACAATTTTAGAATCACTGTGCTGACAGCCAAAATAGCAAAGCTTTCGAGTTGGCTGCTGCTTATTTACAAGTAAAGAAAGGAATGGCGAATAACACTACTGATCTACCGGATAAATCTCTATCTAGTGGTAAACACAAGTGGTTTCCTCTATCACTATCACCTGGATAGTGATTTATCCGGTGGTTAACGCTATCTAAGGTTTTAAGAGCAAGGCCCCGGTTGTTCACACGCTGGATAGCGCTATCCACCGGATAAACCACTTTCCAGTGGATAAGTAATTGTGAAACCAATTGCGTTATCCGCTGGATAAATCTAGCGCTATCCACTTTTTGAGAAACTGGGGTTAGGTCCAAGTGGATAGCTTGCTCGCGGGCTATGTCGTTTCTGTGTGTGTACAACATGTCAAAACGAAGCTTATTAAATCTTAACGTCGGCGTTTCTTTCTAAGAAGTTTACTTACCTTAACTTGCGTTAGAATATTTTTAAGTTGAGTCTGCAATTGGTCTGTATCGGTGAATACATCCTCACTAAGAAAAACATAACAAAAACTGCTTAGTTACGCAGTGAAATATAAAGCTAAAAGAATAATTATAATAAAGCTTGTAAACATCTCGCTCCGTGTAAGGTAATCCAAGGCGGCCTTGGATTCTGGACTCCACGCTGTAAATTCAGGATTGTAGCTACTGGATTCCGGATTCCGTATTGGTGGAACTTGGATTTAAGATTCTTAGAGCTGAATTATAGATTCCAAAGCCCAGGATTCCGGAATCCACAAGCAAAAAATTTCCCAGATTCCGGAATCTGGATTATCCTACATGGGGCAATGCAGATCAATTAAGGTTTCTGGGTAACTGACCACCTAACCCTCCCCAAAGTCAACATTAACACGTAGTTCTCGCTTTTGGCAAAATTGTGACTTAGGGAGGGGTAGGTGGTCAGTTACCCAGGAACCTCAATTGATCCGGCAATGCTTCTGGGTGATTTGGCCACAGAGTAGCATCAAGTTTAAAGAACTACAACAAACCTTTTTGTCAAAGAGGGTTTCCATCCTGTCTCACCTGCATTGACAAAAAAAGAACACATGCTCATCATGATTTTTATCTGCCAAATTAGGATTGATTCCTTTTTAAAGGCTGGGAAATGTAAGGAATGTTATCTGCTTTTCGTTGTGTGTACGCCTTGCGTGCCAGTATCTACATTGAATCATTGGACAGGCTGCAAACCGATGAAACACGTGAATGCTTTGCTGGTAAGTGGATTAAAATTTGAGCGTTTCATCGAATTTAAGCCTGAGGTTATCTACAGCCACCAAAAAGTCTTCTATCTGTAACAGCAGAGTAGAGATGAAAACAACTTTTATACGACAATCTGGCTGAGCTAGTAGTTAGTTACGGATCGGGGGGGGGGTACGGGGGTCTAGAGGTCCTAACCCCTCCCCCCTCTCAGCGAAGCCATCAGATACAACATTCACCTGGCCTCTTGACCATAGACTTAAGTAACATTACCATGTGAACAGCGAAGACGGGTGGAAGTTGGACCGCCGGACCGCTGCCGTATTTTATTTGACGTGTTCCGGAGAGTTTCGGGGTGATCTGGGTTCCAGGTTTTAAGTCTCGTTGTCTTAGGCGACATTGAAAGTTCCCTTAGTTACTGTTAGTCGGGTATTTTGGTAGCTTCAATTAATGGGGATGTCTTTAGCTTCAGGATCGACGGCACTTACGTATTCCCGGAATGCTCTCAATAGGGATATGTCGGACCCCTTCTTGGAAACACTTGAGTCCAGGATAGACTTTTCGAATTTCAGTCTGTCTCCTCTCCATTAGTTTCTTGACGATCTGCAAGAAAAGATTAGTGACAACTCTTTTAAAAAACTGCGCAAAGTGTCTATTCAGTGTCAGATACTATAGCTTTCCATTTGGGGGAGTCGCGAGAAGTCACGCGTGTGCCGCACGCGAAAGGAGAAGTGAGTCTCGAGGTTCGCTTTGCTCGCCACTAGAAATGGAGAGCTCGCTCGCAGGCGGCAACAGATACCACCACAAGGAGCCCAAAAGCCGTATGGCTGCCTAGAGAGCGTTTTCACCCATTTGTCCAGCAGTTATACAAATTTTTGCGCCAACAGAAAGCGTTTTCATAGCAAAAGAGTTCAACTCCCACAAGACTGGACACCAACATGGCCGCCAGCCATTTCATTATTCTGGGACACAACATAGCGGACGTGACACGTCATGTCTTGTGAAAAGGCTCTATAAGCTTCAACCCCGTGCAAACCGATGCAACATTGTTGGATGTTACTTATTGCGTCCGTTTGCACACCCTGTTGCATGTTGTTGCGCAAAGTTTGAAACCGGTTAATCTTTTGAGCCAACAACTCTCAACATTTCTTTTGTTCCGTTATCGCCGAAGCGTAGCGCAGCTGTTCCAGCTCTTCACACATGGTCTCCAAAGTCTTAAAGGCTGTATTCTTCCTACGATAACCAGCAGATTCCAACATTGACGGGAGTTGTTGCACCTGTTTGCACTACACTACCAACACGAACGCAACAACTCCCAACAATGTTGGCCCAACAATGTTGAGAGTTGTTGTGTCCGTTTACACGTAGCTTTACAAATTGCTGATAAAGCTTACAGATAGCTATCAAGGGTTCGAGCTTCCTGTGATATTGCTAGGGAGAAGACATAACAGCGACGGCGCTAGACAAGCGCGAGAAATCGCAAAAGATCTAGTCACCTCTTATTGGTTGAAAAACTGTCACGTGGGGTAAACCTACCTCTTTCTGCTTTCGGATGATGGTGGAGAATTCTGTGTACTGAATTCTTGCATTAATGGCACACTGTCAAAAGAAAGCCATGAAAAACACATGGAGTACAAGCCCCTGTTGTTCCAACGTTAGATAGCGCTATCCACCTCATAAATCAATATCCAGTTAATAAGAATTAGGGACACCAATTGCGTTATCCAACGGATAGAGATTATCCAGTGGATAGTGTTATTTACCTTTTGAAAAACTGGAGCCAGTTGTGCAATTTGTAATGGTTACAGGACTGAGTGGAGTCCAATTCGGTCTGTAATCATACGAGTGATTAACAAAATCGGACGACCGCGTAGCGGGAGTCCGATTTGTTTAATCACGAGTATGATTACAGACCGAATTGGACGACACGAAGTTCTGTTACCAATTAATCATAACTTTAACAAAATTTGTGATATATAGGGCTCTTTTTAAATCAAAACACAAGAAATTCCACGATTTTTTCGCTAGCAATGAAAACAAAAAAGCCATTTAAGCGCGCGCGTGATGGCGCGTACTGTCCAATTACTTAGGCATGACGCGTACTGTCCTATTAAACTGTCCTATTAAGGCTGAAATCAGGGCAGTTGAGAACCAATCAGATTTGAGAATTTTGTTATAGTTATGATTAACAATTTTACAGTCTAAGGCGAGAGAGCTTTTGACCTCTGGTAACTAATACTGACTTGTGTGCTGAATGAATCAAGATCAGTTAGTGATAAGAAAAACCCTAACAAGGGCGAATTTGCACGACGGCTTTTTTTTTTCACAAGTAAATGATATTACTTTTCACATCATCATGGGTAGCAAAAGTGTAACCCTTGGAGAAGTCAGGAAGGCTGTGAAAACTTGTCTCTTAATTCTCCCGAATGACCAGTCATATTTCAGTTTGAAAACTTTGTTAAAATATGAACAGCGCTTTCTATTTCTTAAAAAATTCTAGCCAACAGACCATTTCCGGGTTCCCCCGGGCCTCTGTTTCAAAACGAGGGTAGGTGCTCAGCCTTTGATGTGGAAATCATTTTTCATTCTCATGCAAATGAAACTCATTTTCACAAGAAAAGTTGTGCACCTAGCCTCATTTTGAAAATAACGGTTTTTGGAACTCGGAAGTGGCCTATCAAAGGTACAACTCCGAGAAAGTTTGAACAACAAAGGAAATGTTGACAACGTGTCGAGGAAAAGAAAAATGTTAGAAAAAACATGATAGACTTACATGCATCAAAGTGGCACCCTCATAATCCTTTATGTACCCAATGTAGGACGATTTGGGTATTCTGATGTCCTTACTGAATCCCTTTTGAACAATAGATAAAAATAGTTTGAACATTTTGCCCAACGTTCACACTCATTGGCCGAAGAGAGGTCACATGACGTGTAACAGTGAAACTGTTTCCCGCCAAACCTCTCTGAATCTGCACCACTGAAAAAAATCTATGACGTCAAAGGATGAGTGGACTATTGGCGGGAGTGTCAACCGCTGGGTCATTTTCATATTGGATCTACTAACTTCTTTGTTTGTGCTATAATAGAGAGCTCAAGCAGCCTCGACAGCGACGGTAACGAGAACATAAAATAAACAATACCCTTAATCAGCAAAACAACAACTGTGCACTTGTGTCACACTTTTTGGTGAGCGAGTTGTATTAAGCGCGAAGAAGTTTGAAACAGCGCGAATTCGCGTGTCGTTATATCTAAGGTCGTCGCCGTGGTTGTTCGTGCCTTAACTTTACCACAAGGTATTTACTAAGTATTGAATCGGTTGAGTTACCTGTTTTTTGAAGTATCCAATCGCGTATTCATCAGCATATGTCAAAAAGTTCAAAACCGAATGCTTGACGTGGTAATCCTTGAGGTGATTCATGAGATGTGTGCCATACCCCTTCAACGACAAAACAAATAACGCTGGGGTCAACAAGAAAGTCCTCGTAAGTGTTTCCAGGAGAGTATTACCCGGGGCTCCTTACGAGTTTCAATATACTCTCAAACAAACTGTTGGAAGAATTTGGAGTAATGTAGCCTGTTCCAGGCTCTCAGAAATTAGGAAAGACGCGCAAGTAAATGGAATAGGTTAATAATAATAATAAAGATAACTATGATTATAATAATAACAGGTAATGATAATGATGATGATGATGATGTCAGTGGTGATAATAGTTATTGTTACAATTATAAATTATTGTTATAATCATAAAAACATAATGATGATGATCATGATGATGACGAAAACGATGATGGATGAAGAAAAAGTCGATGATGATAAAACAGTAATACTAAAAAAATTGATGGTGATGGTGGCGGTAGTGATGATAATAAATTTATCTTTTTTATCTCTTGAGGAAATTTACTCGTAAAATTTCTATTTACTGACAGGAGCAATACCACTGACAGTTACAAGCAGTATGAATGGCTAACTGACTTTACACACGCGAAGGATAATACCTTGACTTGCTCATTTGAAGTGACCGCACAAAACACGATTTCTGTGAAGTTCTGCGAGGGAAACATGCGGAAACAGATTCCACCAATCGGCTTGTTGTCCTTGACCAAAGCTAGAGTCTTGTGTTTTCTGCAAAATAAAACAACTTACAATCAACAACAATGCATCTCACATAGAACCTGCACCAACTCTAGCAGGGAGTGTAAGTTATGCGACACCATTTCGATTTTGTTGGACCTTTTACTTTACTGACAGTGTTTGTAGTTACGTCCGTGCATCTCAGTAGAAAATAGGATCTTTAAACTTCAACTGGGATTTCACAAGACACAGGTTCGATTCGCAAGTGCGTCAAGTAAAGAATTTCTCGGTGCCTATAAGATGGCATACTTTTCAAGTTTTACTGGGTAAAACCTTAAACTGGAAAGCCTTAACGTTAAAAAGAAACTGATAATGAATTTTTTCAGCCGAGGACGAAAGGGAAAGGAGATTTGTGAGGGGAATTTGACGTAAATGAAGGCTAAAATAAAGCAAAATCTACTCCACCTTTTCCTTTCTACGAATGCATGGACTGAAAGCTTTCCATCAATATGAGCCTGCGTCAGGACTCAGGAGGCAGTAACGCGGAGCGAGCAACTCCAATACTAGGCCTATGTTACGACGTTTTCACAAAACGGTTTATTTTTAGATATATTTTAGAGCACTTTTTGCTCCGTCAAACAAAATTTGAAACAAATCACAACAAATTTTCTTTTTCTGCTCCGTCTATGAGGGCATTCAAAGTATCGTAAACATCATTAAAAGGTCAAAAATATCATTTTCAAGTCTGCGGTTTGGGCTGACTTGTTTGTGGAACTTCATATTCTAAATTCGCGCCAAAACCGTTCTTAAAATAAACTAGTCGTGAAAATGTGACGCGAGTACATGGAAGTTGATCGTTCCGAGTTATGGGCTCTTGCAATGCGAGAGAAGCGCACGTGACGCGCTCTAAAAAGGGACGGAGATGGGGACCCACCCCCACCCCCCATTTTTTCCGCGTTGCTTAAAGGAAACGGGGAAGACTGCTACGCAGGTTACACCTGTATAATTCATACTTACGGGTCAAAGACAAGTCTCGAGATGTACTCTTTCGGCATTCTTGGCAGCTGATATGAGAACACGTTTTGCAATCCTACCAGCCAAAGAAGTGTTTGTTTTGAAGGCTGTCTGTTGAATGAATTGCCCACCACATGGAATTCAATCACGCCTCTTCTTTCTTCGCAGCGAGCAGCCTCATCTCTGGCGCTGTGAGTTCCAGGGTACAGTCCACCCTGAAACAGTTAAAACAACAGTTCCGGTTAAACCGAGCTTTTATCCCGTGGGATAAGGCAGTTTACATGGGGAAATTAAAGACCTTGGCTTTAGATCCGAGGACGAGGACCTCCACGAGGATGAGATTTAACTTAATGTTTTTTTCGCGTATTCTTAAAAATAAACACCCCAGAAAGCATCATTGTACTTTTTTTGCCCCAGAAAAGTTAGCACGGTTATTTTTATTGAAGGATGTTACATTGTAAGCCCTCTCCCCATCGGAAAATGATAAAACTTGTGACATTTGATAACTTGTTTCTGTCACTGCGACATTGTCGCTAAAACCCGTAGTTGAGTGACGAGAGATACCACGTTTTCCCGCCAAAATGACGGTGGTTCAAGTACGCGCACTACTTAGTGTTGGAAGAGTCTCCTCCTCGTACTTGTCCTCGCCTTAGAATCTAAAGATCTCTATTCACTGCGTATGTAACCGCTTCTTCCCACGATAAATTTCCTGTGGGATATAAGGATGGAAATGTAAAACAGATAAAAGAAAGCGACCATGAAAGCTACTAGGATGTTTATTTCAGATTGATTTGCGTCCCACGATAAAACAACCATGCAATCACAAGAGTGGCTACGAAATTTCCCGCCAAAAAGACTCACAGCATGCGTCGAGTAGCGCGGGAAATATAAAATGACTGTGACCGCATTAACGCCAGTATGTAAAACACTAATATCCTCGTCCTTTAGCCTCCAAAGATGGACAAAAATCCTTGAATAGGCCATTTGGCAAGAAGGCGTAATTTAACTACTACGACCAGAATCCTTTTCGTTTCTCCTTTCTTAGTTAAATTTGGTAATTCCAGTGAGAGGGCCCTAATTTGCACACAAAAAGCAAAACCCTGAGAAATGTATTTACATTCGGCGGAGCTAAACGTAGTGGCAGTGACAGAGAATGTAAATACTTTCCTATTGGTATGAACGCACGTGAGCCGTTATGGCGTTAATTGACTCTATTGTTGTAAGGTATATAAGGTTTTGACAGTTGTAATGTATTCATCTCAGCTCTCGAACTATCAAATTTTAAAATGCCGTCCGATGATGATCTCGCGCGAAGCATTTCCGAGCTCAAAGACGAGTTTCGATCTGGTTTATCTTCTTTAAAGAGAGAACTTGCACAAGAACACGACGCTGCGCTGAAGAAGCTCAAGACAGCTACTGCTAATGTTCCGAAGTTTTAAAAGAAAGGCAACGAGAAGCAGTTCCTACTTAATTCTGAAGTTCTTGAACACGTCCAGTCTGCTTCTACCGCCCTTCAGGCGTCTTCGCCTCAAGTTGAAAAGGCCTTCGAAGAGTTAAAGGAAAGTTCCAATTTTTCGAACCCTTTCGTTGCCGTCAATTGGCCTAAGGCTCACCGTGGTTCGCGTGTTGGCAGTGTTGGCAGTTTTGGCAGTTTCGGCCTTTTCAGGAATCAGTGCCCCGTCCTTCAGGCGTAGTTTTCACCTAGCCAACCTGGGAATCGTACGTGATGGACTCGGATGTTGGTGCACTCGTCGAGGACACAGATAAGTTAAGGAATTTTGTTGAAGATGATTTTGACTTTTTTTGAATATGAACAGGGTCGTAGTTCTACTATCGTTGTAGCCGGTAGGCTAAAATCCCATATCATTGTTCAGTTTTGGCGTTCTATAGGCGCCAGTCAATATATTCTAGATTTATCGAGCATGGTTATCGTATTCCTTTCCACTCTAGTTATAATAAGTCAGCTTTGACGCATTCTGATTTTGTTAACGAAGCTGTTTCCTAATTGTTGGTTACCAATCGCATTTTTGGATCTGGGGTCCTGCCCCATAACGTCAACCCTCTTTCCGTTTCTGTTCAATCATCTGGGAGGAAGAGGTTGATCTTGGACCTTAGGTTTGTAAATAAGCATGTCTGGAAGCCAAAGGTCAAGTTTGAGGTTCTTAAGGTGGCTCTGAATTATTTTGACAAGGGTCATTTCATGTTTTCATTTGACATTAAGAGGGGTTATCATCATGTCCTTATCTTCCCGCCCCACCAGACATTTTTGGGTTTTTCCTGGTTTTACCAGGGTAAGGTCCGTTAGTTTTGTTTCAGGGTCCTGCCCTTCGGCCCCTGTTCAATCCCTTTTGTTTACACAAGATTTTTAGGCCTCTCGTTGCCTACTGAAGGTGGGTTGGTATTCACATTGTCGTTTATATTTATGATGGTTTAGCGGAGGGGCCTTCATATCCGGTTGCTTTAGACCATTCCACCAGGGTTAAGACTGATTTGATTCGTTCTGGCTTTGTACCCTACCTCGAGAAATCTGTTTGGGTTCCTACATCAGCCCTTGATTGTTTGGGTTTCCCCATTGATCTTTTTCAGGGTTTCCTTTTTTGTTCAGGGATAAAACTCAAACGGGTTCTTTCTGATATTGATTCCCTTTTAGAGGCTAATTGTTGCACTGCCAGGAACTGTCCGTTCTTGCTGGTCGTATTAATTCCTTTAAACTAGCTGTAGGTTATGTTACAACCGTTGATGACAAAGGTTATTCATATGTCCATCGTCCTTCAGTCTAGTTGGGACTCTAGGTTTCCTTTGTCCGATTCTGTCAAAGAAGAGCTTTTTTTTCTGGAAAGAGAACGTTCGGTGTTTGAATGGTAGGCCCACTGGGCGTCACTTTTCATGTTCTCGTTCCATTGTTTATTCAGATGCTAGTGATCTAGGGGTTGGCGGTGTTGTTAAGACCACGAGGGTGTTATTTGTCATCGTCCGTGGACTGCTAATGAAATGTTTCCCAGCTATATTTGTCTCTCTAGTTTTTCCGTAGTTTTGTCAGGGCGCGCGATTTAATGGTTTACGGATAACCGCTACATTCCGTCCATTATTCGCAACGGGAGTATGAAGCGGGGTTTACACGAACTTTCCGTCTCTATTTTTCAGCTAGTTTTGCGAAATGGTATTGATTTGCAGGTGGACTGGATTCCTAGGTCTCTCAATGGGCACGTGGATGCCATCAGCAGGATCGTTGACTTTGATGATTGGGGTGTTTCGTTTGAATTTTTTCGCCTTGTAGACAACATTTGGGGTCCACTTCCGTAGATCGTTTTGCCCATTCTAATACCGCAAATTGCCCAGATTTTTTTCTCGTTTCTGGTATCCTGACTTGGAGGGGGTGGATGCCTTTTGTTTTGACAGGGCGGGGGAGAATAACTAGCTCGTTTCCCCAGTGTCCCTTGTTCCCAGGGTTATTAGGCATTTGTTTGTATGTCGGTCCATGGGCTCTATTATTGTCCCCAAGTGGGTCTCAGCTCCATTTTGGCCCATGCTCTTTGGTCCCCATTCCCCCTTTTTCCTTTTGCGTTAAAGAGACCATTGTTTTTTACCAATGTTTCTAATATTTCTGTTCCGGGCTCCACAGAGTCTATTTTTTATGGCCCTAACTTTAGTCTCATGTATTAGCCGTCCGTTTGTCGGCTTGTTAGATTTGTGCTTCTAGGCTTAGTTTCTTTTCCGCAGTTACGTGTAGTTATTGTTTAGCCTATATTAGTGTGGTTTATTATTTTTGAGTGATTTGTTCTGTTTTTTCTTTTGCCTCGGTGGCATTTACGCGGGTCTCGGTGACCTTGTTTGTACCTTCACTGATCCCGACGGGTCGTACCGTTACATTCTTGCGTGACCTCGGTCAGTTTTGAATCCTTCCAGGTCCCCCATATATATGGTCGCGTGCGCCTCGGTGGCCACTCTCTTGTTATGTATCTGTGTGATAGTTGTATGTTTTTGCACTACATATTACGCGCGTTTCCTTTTTCTGCTCCTTTTTTCTCGTGCATCTTTTTCATTTTTTAAGTCCTTATATTGAATCCATATGGTCTTTTATTTCTTCTGTTTTTCAGATGTTTTTCGCTAGCCCTATGTGGGCTGAGCTTAACGATGTCAGAGCTCCCTCCCTACGCTGCGTAGCAAAAAAGCTACCGGAGGTAGTCCTTGGTTCCAGGACAGATTCGACTACTCTCACCTACCTCAACAGTTTTAAGCGATGGCGTGCTTGGGCCAACAGATTTCCCGAGGTCGCAGTGCTGCCTGCTACTCCGGCTTACGTTTCTTCATACCTGCTCAGTGTTCTCCAGGCTTCTAGTTCTCCTGCGCCGGTCCAGAACGCCCTCTATAGCATCCGCTGGGCTCATGATTTTGCTGGTTTTGACTCTCCTACCAATCATACGCTTCCCCAGAAGGTCGTGGAGTCCGCTAAGAGAAGGCTATTACACCTCACTTCCAAAAAGCTCCCCATTACACCCGAAATTTTACTAACGTTTTTTCAGAGTCTCGATGGATCTTTGGTGGACACGAGATTCATCGCCATGGCGTTACTGGCCCTTGCGGGGTTCTTAAGATTTGACGAATTGGCTAATCTGAAACTTAAAGATTTAGCTCTGCATGACACCTCGTTTTGAGCTTTTATTGAAAGTAGTAAAACTGATCAATTTCGCGAGGGCGCTATTGTCCCTATTGTCAAGTCTGGCACGGATTGTTTTCCCCTGGGGTAATTTAGAGAAGTACTTATCGTAAGCCAAACTCACTTTACCGACATCTTACCAAGGTGGAGACGACTATTTGTTCGGAAATATTCAACCAAGTCTGGCTCTTACAAGACATTTGGAGCCTGGGCGGATGGACTACAAGATGTAGAGAAGTTTTATTGAAGAAGACTACAGACGTGGGCTTAGATCTTAAGTCTTTCTCTTGGCACAGCTTCAGAAGTGGCGGTGCATCTGCCGCCGCTAATGGTGGTATCTCCGATAGAATGTTTAAGCGCCATGGTAGATGGCGTTCGGAAAACGCTAGGATGTTTACTTTGCAGACTCGATAGAGAGCCGATTAGCGGTCTCTATGTCTCTTGGACTGTATTGTTTCCCGTTCTTTGTTTTCTCAGCCGCTCCATAGTTCGAGCTGCACACCCATTCCCGTCTCTTAGTCGTGAATATAAATAGGAAATGTATTTACATTCGGCGGAGCTAAACGTAGTGGCAGTGACAGAGAATGTAAATACTTTCCTATTGGTATGAACGCACGTGAGCCGTTATGGCGTTAATTGACTCTATTGTTGTAAGGTATATAAGGTTTTGACAGTTGTAATGTATTCATCTCAGCTCTCGAACTATCAAATTTTATTTTTATACCTTACTTTATTCATCTATCGATTGATTTTTTACCTTTAACCCCCAGAGGTTGTGCGACCGCATCGGTTGGGGAATACGTTCCCAATTTTTTCCCATTGGGTTTTTTGGGTTTTCGTATCAGGCGGCGCACGTGAATAGTTTAGCCTGAGTGACTTTATTTAGGAATATTTGTTTACCATTCTTTAGTTATGATGTTGAACTTTGTATGTTATTTGGACGGCATTAAACACTCAGGCTCCATAGTTCGAGCTGCACACCCATTCCCGTCTCTTAGTCGTGAATATAAATAGGAAAGTCTGATCGTAGCAGTAAAATGATGTCATCGCGCAAATGGCCTATTGCAGCATACAACTGGATAAGAACTTTTAAAAACCACCACAAAATACTTGAAATTTGTAACAAACCTCCGGGCCTAACATGGCGGAAGGGTCAGATATAGTTCCTACGATCTGAGTCAAAACCTCAAGTGGTACATCTCCTGCAAAAAGCAAATAGAAGACATTGTAATCTGTGACTGTTGATGCAGCTGTTATCACCTTTAGGGTGATGATAAGTCTTCATGAGAAACAACTGGATGGTGGGGGGGGGGGGGGGGGGGGTCAGGAGCTATAAATAGGGAGCTTAAGCAGCGACGTTTTTGAGCGACGCACGTCAACCGGAAGTGAGGTATTTTCCCCCTTAACATGCCTTGATGATATAAAATTTGTATTCCTTAGCTTCTTTACTGTTATGGAGGCGATCTGACTGAAAATTTGCGCGAAACCACCGTCAAAATTTGAAAAAAGGCCACTTCCGGTTGACGTGCGTCGCTCAAAAACGTTGCTGCTTAAGCTCCCTAATACTGGAACTTTACATAGGGAAAGGGAGGGTAGCCGGAACTCCCGCCCGAACCGCTAGTTCTCAATAGTTCCGTGTTCAAATCCTCAGCCAACAGGTTTGCCTCCTGCAAGTTGGGATCCTTAACCCTTGATTTTCCTTTGGTTTCTGCTTTAAAATCCGTAAAAATCCATTCAACAAAATTTGAAACAAATCACCACAACTTCTATTTTTCCTAACCCAACCCCTGTCACTTTCAACATCCCGTAACTTTTATGCAAAACTGTCAATCACGAGCAATAACCGCGAACTTAACTTCCTATGCGCCTTTACACTTGTTGCTTACCGAGCAACTCTCTTATGTTTATATTGGATTAGATGTTTCGTTGAAGAGGATAAGCACGTATTGATTTATTTATTTACTTATTTATTTTTATTCATTGATTTATAACTTTCCTTATTTATCAGTTACCTGCCAGCTTTTGTCGCTTTGCATCAGTACCAAGAGATCCATCATTCTCTGCACTCCTTTTCTCGCCGGAAATTTCTGTTCAAAAAATAGCATTTTTTTACTCCAAGTATGTTTATCAATGTAGTTTTCAAAACATTAAAAGTTAGTATATTTTTTGCAGTCATCTGTCATTTGAATACCTAGAGGTTTCATGTGAATGCGTTGGAATTGTGAAAAATGGACTGTGCGACTGGAGGCAACCATTTCAAGCTAACGGTCAAGATGGAATACATTGTGATAATTAACGCCTTTGAATGGCGTTTTTTCACACAACTGTTAGATTCTCTTAGGGTCTGTTTACATGGATGTGGGGGACCCCAGGTAGGTGAGGTATCCCGCTTAGGTTGAGTAGGCCGTCTGTCCATATAATCTCTCATTTCAATTTGATCACATTTTCATGATAGCTGGGGTGACCATATGAGAGATCATAAGGGCAGGCAGGTTACCAAACCTAAGCGGGTTTCCTCACCTACCTGGGAACCCCCACCTCCACTTAAACAGGCCTTTAATCCTTGTTCAAACGAATTCAGTGCTAATGAGGAATATCTATTGTCCTCGCCCATTTCAGTGATATGCATTAGATTCGGCAAATGCTAAGTTCAACGTTTGAATAGACCTTATTCACGATGTCCGCCATCTTTGCACGCGCTCTAGGATCGACGGGATAAAAGCTATGTCACGTGGCATTTCGGGGGGCAAACAAGTGATAAAATTTGCCAATACGAGTAATCGTGGTCGAGTTTCTTTTTCTTCTTTTCTACGACAATTTCGTAGTAATGAAAAATGTACATATCGAATTTTGGCAAGATTTACGTCATTACTGTTTGCCATGAGGTCATTGACGGTTACTACTGCATATAAAAAGTAACAATCATCACTTTCACCCATATTTTGACATTATCGTCTTTAAGATGAAAAGGTCTTCATTTCCTGTTGTCTAGAATAAACAAACTCAACGCGATTTCTTCCATTGACAATTTTTCCACTTGTTTGTCCCCTAAGAAACCACATGACATTGTTTTCATCCCATCTGTCCTTAAGCGCGGGCAAAGATGGCGGGTATCGTGAAGAAGGTCTATTGGGCCTTAGCCCAAGCATCAGTCCCTCCTTAGATGTTAGGGGAGGGGAGGGGAGGGAGGGGAGATTTGCTTACAAAACGGAAATGATGGTGAAAAAGAGGCGGTAATGTAGGATCAGGACCCACATCTCCAAACCCCATCAGTGGTCAGCTGAAGCAACAACGCCGGCGACGGCTACGAAAACGTCACTCAAAAAGTGAATTTGCGCCGCCTCAAACTTTATCGCGCTTATTCCATCTCGTTTAATTCGTCAAATACTGGAGTTGAGTTCTAAAGGACTATATCAAAGTTCAGGTAAAAAAAAAGGACAGTTCCCGTCCTCGACAAATCGTGAAATAAGGCATTTCACGTCGTACTCGCGCAGTGACGGCAAAGAAATGTATAAAAAACGTGATACACCTGCAAAGTTGTTGTTTTGCAAATCTAAACCTGTTGCTTTTTGCCGTTCTCGTTGCCGTCGGCGTCGCCGTCGCCATTAAGCTCCCTAATACCTTCTGAAGGAGAGCTGGAAGTTGACAATTGAAGATCCGAGGATGACGACAGGCTAGAACCAACTGCTGAGCTAATAGGAGGGAATAAAAAATTTAAAACAACCATATGTCTAACACAACAGAACCATTTATCCTACATAAGACACAAATTACCCTGTATAAAAGGCACATTAAAGGGCTTTTTACATGGAGGTGGGAGACCCCATATAGGTGAGGTAACATGTGAAGGATCGCCCTACCTATCAAGTAAACGTGATCAAGTTATAATGAGAGATTACATGGACAGGGGAGTTACCACACTTACCTGGTTTCCTGGGTTACCTCACTTCCTTGTAAAAAGGCCCTAAGGCCCAACTTCGCTAAGACGCGTATTATCGAAGAAAAGATGTTAGGAGCTGTTTAGCTTAGACAAGAAAACTCAGCTAAATTTCAGACGATATGTTTCGTATATACGGAATAATTCGCGTCTTATTTAGAACGCGTCAATATTTTTCCTCCTCCAAAAGGACCTTTTGTAGAGATGGGAGGGTATACGTTTCTTTCTAAGCCCGATTTCTATTACATAGTCTATTATAGAGTGACAACAGTGACTACGGTGACAACGGTGGCAACAAAGACAACAGTGACAACAGTGACAACGGCAACAACAGTGACAACAGTGACAACGGTGACAACAGTGACAACAGTTACAACAGTAAAAACAGTGACAACAGTGACAACAGGGACTTTAAGATAGGTCACTACGGTAGGCTGGAACGGTTGGATGCGTATACGGGCGGCCTGGGGCCATGACGGTAAGAAGCCGCGAAAATTTTGAATTTTAGATCGGACAACAAAGCAGAGGACGGTGAAGTCATGTGCGAAACTCGCTTGTCATTTCTTTCGCAGAAGGCTCAATTACGTTCAATTACTGAAGAAGAGTTTCTTATTTTATACGAAGAATACGAATCAGAAGAATAAGGGTACAAATTAAAGCTAGCTAGCTAGTTTTCAAAACTGTAGTCGATGTTTTTATTTGAACTTTCCTTTCCTAAGCCAACACCTTTTGAGTTAAAGAAATCTTTTCTTGATAAAAAATACAGTTTTAAGTTAAAAAAAGACGGCTACAATAATCACTGTTAGGCCCAGTTGAAACGTCGAACTTCTCTTGTGCCGAAACTAAAGCACAAATTACTAAAATTTATTTTCCCTTGTTTAAAGCATTCTAGACCGTTGAACATCGTGAAAATGAATCGAGTTCGACTACACTTTATGTTCGACGCCTGAGTCAACCTCGAACCATTTGGGTCGACCTAAACAGGTATTAAGTTCGGTACATGAAAAGATGAACGTTTGAACTGGGCCTTACCTTTCTTTTCGGCAATTTTCCTCTGCCATGGCGAACGACGCTGGGTAGAAAACAAGCAGTCGCCATGCGGCCGAAGCTAAGTTATCAATATACTCAGACATTTTCGCTGTTTTTTTTCATTTCACCGATAGGTAAATCAATGTAAACACAAGCCAACGCGTACTTAACCCGGTGGCTACTCAGTTTTAGAAGAAAAGTGACAATAAGAATGCATGAAATCTTATCGGTTTCACCGTTGTCTTCACGACGAGAAACCCGGCGAAAACATACCGTCCCAGAAGGACGACGGTAAAAGGTCACGCGTTTTTTGCGTGACGTGACATCTATCTAACCGTCCCAGGCGACCGTAGTGACCTATCTTAAAGTCCCTAACGGTGACAACGGTGACAAAGGTGACAGAGGTGACCTCAGTGACAACGGTGACAACAGTTACAGAGGTGACAACAGTGACAACAGTGACAGAGGTGACAACAGTGACAACAGTGACAACGGTGACAACGGTGACAACGGTGACAACGGTGACAACGGTGACAACAGTGACAACCATGACAACGGTGACAACAGTGACAACGGTGAGAACGGTGACAACGGTGACAGAGGTGACAACAGTGACAACAGTGACAACGGTGACAACAGTGACAACGTGACAACGGTGACAACGGTGAAAACGGTGACAACAGTGACAGAGGTGACAAAAGTGACAACAGCGACAGAAGTGACAACAGTGACAACAGTGACAAAGGTGACAGCAGTGACGTGACAACGGTGACAACGGTGACAACGTGACAACGGTGACAACAGTGACAGAGGTGACAACAGTGAAAGCAGTGACAGAGGTGACAACAGTGACAACAATGACAGAGGTGACAACAGTGACAACAGTGACAGAGGTGACAACAGTGACAACAGTCACAACAATGACAACGGTGACAACAGTGACAACCGTGAAAACGGTGACAGAGGTGACAACAGTGACAACAGTGACAACGGTGACAATAGTGACAACAGTGACAACGTGACAACGGTGACAACGGTGACAACAGTGACAGAGGTGACAACAGTGACAACGGTGACAACGGTGAAAACGTGACAACGGAAACAACGGTGACAACAGTGACAACGACGTCACTGTTGTCACCTCTGTCACTGCTGTCACCGTTGTCACCATTGTCACGTTGTCACTGTTTTCACCGTTGTCACCGTTGTCACGTTGTCACCATTGTCACCGTTGTCACTGTTGTCACTGTTGTCACCGTTGTCACCGTTGTCACTGTTGTCACTGTTGTAACCTCTGTCACTGTTGTCACCGTTATCACCGTTGTCACGATGTCACCGTTCTCACCGTTGTCACTGTTGTAACTGTTGTCACTGTTGTCACCTCTGTCACCGTTGTCACCGTTGTCACTGTTGTCACCGTCGTCATCGTTGTCACTGTTGTCACCGTTGTCACCGTTGTCACCTTGTCACCGTTGTCACCGTTGTCACTGTTGTTACCGTTGTCACTGTTGTCATTGTTGTCACTGTTGTCACCTCTGTCACTGTTGTCACCTCTGTCACTGTTGTCACCGTTTTCACGTTGTCAAAGTTGTCACGATGTTGCCGTTGTCATTGTTGTCACTGTTGTCACTGTTCTCACCTCTGTCACCGTTGTCACCGTTGTCACTGTTGTCACCGTTCTCATCGTTGTCACTGTTGTCGCCGTTGTCACCGTTGTCACGTTGTCACCATTGTCATTGTTGTCAATGTTGTCACTGTTGTCACCTCTGTCACTGTTGTCACTGTTGTCACCTCTGTCACTGTTGTCACCGTTGTCACCATTGTCACGTTGTCACTGATGTCACCGTTGTCACCGTTGTCACGTTGTCACCATTGTCACCGTTGTCACTGTTGTCACTGTTGTCAGCACTAGCTCTGTCACTGTTGTCACCGTTGTCATCGTTGTCACTGTTGTCACCGTTGTCACATTGTCACCGTTGTCACCGTTGTCACTGTTGTCACTTTTTTCACCTCTGTCACTGTTGTCACTGTTGTCACCTCTGTCACTTTTTGTCACTGTTGTCACCTCTGTGACTGTTGTCACCGTTGTCACCGTTGTCACTGTTGTCACCTCTGTCACTGTTGTCACCGTTGTCACGTTGTCACTTTTGTCACCTCTTTCACTGTTGTTACTGTTGTCACCTCTGTCACCGTTGTCACCGTTGTCACTGTTGTCACCGTTGTCACGTTGTCACCTCTGTCACCGTTGTCATTGTTGTGACTGTTGTGACTGTTGTCACCTCTGTCACTGTTGTCACTGTTGTCACCTTTGTCACTGTTTTCACTGTTGTCACCTCTGTCACTGTTGTCACCATTGTCACCGTTGTCACGTTGTCACAGCTGTCACCGTTGTCACAGTTGTCACTGTTGTCACTTCTGTCAGTGTTGTCACTGTTGTCACCTCTTTCACTGTGTTAACCGTTGTCACCGTTTTGAGCGTTGTCACCGTTGTCACCTATGTTTCATTGTCACCGTTGTCACGTTGTCACAGTTGTCACCGTTGTCACTGTTGTCACTTCTGTCAGTGTTGTCACTGTTGTCACCTCTTTCACTGTGTTCACCGTTGTCACCGTTTTGAGCGTTGTCACCGTTGTCACCTATGTTTCCGTTCTCACCGATGTCACCGTTGTCACTGTTGTCATTGTTGTCATGGTTGTCCCTGTTTTCAGCGTTCTCACCGTTGTCACGTTGGCACCGTTCTCACTGTTGTCACCTCTGTCACTGTTGTCCCAGTTGTCACCTCTGTCACTGTTGTCACCTCTGTCACTGTTGTCACCGTTGTCACCGTTGTCATCGGTGTCACTGTTGTCACCGTTTTTTCCGGTGTCACGTTATCACCGTTGTCATCGTTGTGACTGTTCTCACTGTAGTCACCTCTGTCACTGTTGTCACTGTTGTCACCTCTGTCACTGTTGTCACTGTTGTCACCTCTGTCACTGTTTTCACTGTTGTCACCTCTGTCACTGTTGTCACCGTTGTCACGTTGTCACCGTTGTCACGTTGTCACCGCTGTCACCGTTGTCACTGTTGTCACTTTTGTCACTTCTGTCACTGTTGTCACTGTTGTCACCTCTGTCACTGTTGTCACCGTTGTCACGTTGTCATCGTTGTCACCGTTGTAACCGTTGTCACTGTTGTCACCTCTGTCACCGTTCTCACTGTTGTCACCGTTGTCACCGTTGTCACCATTGTCACCGTTGTCACTGTTGTCACTGTTGTCACCTCTGTCACTGTTGTCACTGTTGTCACCTCTGTCACTGTTGTCACCGTTGTCACCGTTGTCAATGTTGTCACTGTTGTCACTGTTGTCACCTCTGTCACAGTCGTCATCGTTGTCACTGTTGTCACAGTTGTCACCGTTGTCACGTTGTCACCGTTGTCACCGTTGTCACCGTTGTCACCGTTGTCAGTGTTGTCACCTCTGTCACTGTTGTCACCTCTGTCACTGTTGTCACCGTTGTCACGTTGTCACCGTTGTCACGTTGTTACCGTTGTCACCGTTGTCACTGTTGTCACTGCTCTCACCTCTGTCACCGTTGTCACTGTTGTCACTGTTGTCACCGTTGTCATCGTTGTCACTGTTGTCACCGTTGTCACCGTTGTCACATTGTCACCATTGTCACTGTTGTCACTGTTGTCACCTCTGTCACTGTTGTCACCATTGTCACCGTTGTCACTGTTGTCACCTCTGTCACTGTTGTCACTGTTGTCACCTCTGTCACTGTTGTCACTGTTGTCACCTTTGTCACTGTTGTCACCGTTGTCACCGTTGTCAATGTTGTCACTGTTGTCACTGTTGTCACCTCTATCACCGTTGTCACCGTTGTCACTGTTGTCACAGTCGTCATCGTTGTCACTGTTGTCACCGTTGTCACCGTTGTCACGTTGTCACCGTTGTCAACGTTGTCACCGTTGTCACCGTTGTCAGTGTTGTCACCTCTGTCACTGTTGTCACCTCTGTCACTGTTGTCACCGTTGTCACGTTGTCACCGTTGTCACGTTGTTACCGTTGTCACTTTTGTCACGTTGTCACTGTTTTCACCGTTGTCACCATTGTCCCGTTGTCACCATTGTCACCGTTGTCACTGTTGTCACTGTTGTCACCGTTGTCATCTTTGTCACTAGTTTCACCGTTATCACCGTTGTCACGTTGTCACCGTTGTCACGTTGTCTCCGTTGTCACGTTGTCACCGTTTCTCACTGTTGTTACTGTTGTCACCTCTGTCACCGTTGTCATCGTTGTCACCGTTGTCACCGTTGTCATCGTTGTCACTGTTGTCACCGTTGTCACCGTTGTCACCGTTGTTACGTTGTCACCGTTGTCACTTTTGTCACTGTTGTCACCTCTGTCACTGTTGTCACCTTTGTCACGTTGTCACTGCTCTCACCTCTGTCACCGTTGTCACTGTTGTCACCGTTGTCATCGTTGTCACTGTTGTCACCGTTGTCACCGTTGTCACAATGTCACCATTGTCACTGTTGTCACTGTTGTCACCTCTGTCACTGTTGTCACTGTTGTCACTGTTGTCACCTCTGTCACTGTTGTCACCGTTGTCACCATGGTCACGTTGTCACCATTGTCACTGTTGTCACTGTTGTCACCGTTGTCACTGTTGTCACTGTTGTCACCGTTGTCACTGTTGTCACGGTTGTCATCGTTGTCACTGTTGTCACCGTTTTCACCGTTTTTTCCGGTGTCACGTTATCACCGTTGTCATCGTTGTGACTGTTGTCACTGTAGTCACCTCTGTCACTGTTGTCACCTCTGTCACTGTTGTCACTGTTGTCACCTCTGTGACTGTTGTCACCGTTGTCACCGTTGTCACTGTTGTCACCTCTGTCACCGTTGTCACCGTTGTCTCTGTTGTCACCGTTGTCATCTTTGTCACTAGTTTCACCGTTATCACCTTTGTCACGTTGTCACCATTGTCACCGTTGTCACTGTTGTCACTGTTGTCACCGTTGTCACTGTTGTCACTGTTGTCACCGTTGTCACTGTTGTCACCGTTGTCATCGTTGTCACTGTTGTCACCGTTGTCACCGTTGTCACATTGTTACTGTTGTCACCGTTGTCACTGTTGTCACTTTTGTCACCTCTGTCACTGTTGTCACTGTTGTCACCTCTGTCACTATTGTCACTGTTGTCACCTCTGTGACTGTTTTCACCGTTGTCACCGTTATCACTGTTGTCACCTCTGTCACCGTTGTCACCGTTGTCTCTGTTGTCACCGTTGTCATCTTTGTCACTATTTTCACCGTTATCACCGTTGTCACGTTTTCACCGTTGTTACGTTGTCTCCGTTGTCACGTTGTAACCGTTTCTCACTGTTGTCACTGTTGTCACCTCTGTCACCGTTGTCATCGTTGTCACCGTTGTCACCGTTGTCATCGTTCTCACTGTTGTCACCGTTGTCACCGTTGTTACGTTGTCACCGTTGTCACTTTTGTCACGTTGTCACTGTTTTCACCGTTGTCACCATTGTCACCGTTGTCACTGTTGTCACTGTTGTCACCGTTGTCACTGTTGTCACTGTTGTCACCGTTGTCACTGTTGTCACCGTTGTCACTGTTGTCACCGTTGTCACCGTTGTCACGTTGTCACCGTTGTCACCGTTGTCACTGTTGTCACCTCTGTCACTGTTGTCACCTCTGTCACTGTTGTCACCGTTGTCACGTTGTCACCGTTGTCACCGTTGTCACCGTTGTCACTGTTGTCACCTCTGTCACTGTTGTCACCTCTGTCACTGTTGTCACCGTTGTCACGTTGTCACCGTTGTCACGTTGTTACCGTTGTCACTGCTCTCACCTCTGTCACCGTTGTCACTGTTGTCACCGTTGTCATCGTTGTCATCGTTGTCACTGTTGTCACCGTTGTCACCGTTGTCACAATGTCACCATTGTCACTGTTGTCACTGTTGTCACCTCTGTCACTGTTGTCACTGTTGTCACCTCTGTCACTGTTGTCACCGTTGTCACCATTGTCACGTTGTCACTGTTTTCACCATTGTCACGTTGTCACCATTGTCAGCGTTGTCACTGTTGTCACTGTTGTCACTGTTGTCACTGTTGTCACTGTTGTCACCGTTGTCACTGTTGTCACCGTTGTCATCGTTGTCACTGTTGTCACCGTTGTCACCGTTGTCACCGTGGTCACATTGTCACTGTTGTCACCGTTGTCACTGTTGTCACTTTTGTCACCTCTGTCACTGTTGTCACTGTTGTCACCTCTGTCACCGTTGTCACCGTTGTCACTGTTGTCACAGTCGTAATCGTTGTCACTGTTGTCACCGTTGTCACCGTTGCCACTGTTGTCACCTCTGTCACTGTTGTCACCTCTGTCACCGTTGTCACCTGTTGTCACTGTTGTCACCGTTGTCACCGTTGTCACAATGTCACCATTGTCACTGTTGTCACTGTTGTCACCTCTGTCACTGTTGTCACCTCTGCACCGTTGTCACCTGTTGTCACTGTTGTCACCGTTGTCACCGTTGTCACAATGTCACCATTGTCACTGTTGTCACTGTTGTCACCTCTGTGACTGTTGTCACCGTTGTCACTGTTGTCACCTCTGTCACCGTTGTCACTGTTGTCACCGTTGTCATCTTTGTCACTGCTTTCACCGTTATCACCGTTGTCACGTTGTCACCAATTACGTTGTCACCATTGTCACCGTTGTCACTGTTGTCAGTGTTGTCACGTCTGTCACTGTTGTCACCTCTGTCACTGTTGTCCCCGTTGACACCGTTGTCACGTTGTCACCGTTGTCACTGTTGTCACTTTTGTCACCTCTGTCACTGTTGTCACTTTTGTCACCTCTGTCACTGTTGTCACTGTTGTCACCTCTGTCACTTTTGTCACTGTTGTCACCTCTGTGACTGTTGTCACCGTTGTCACCGTTGTCACTGTTGTCACCTCTGTCACCGTTGTCACCGTTGTCTCTGTTGTCACCGTTGTCATCTTTGTCACTAGTTTCACCGTTATCACCGTTGTCACCGTTGTTACGTTGTCTCCGTTGTCACGTTGTCACCGTTTCTCACTGTTGTCACCTCTGTCACCGTTGTCACCGTTGTCATCGTTGTCACCGTTGTCACCGTTGTTACGTTGTCACCGTTGTCACTTTTGTCACTGTTGTCACCTCTGTCACTGTTGTCACCTTTGTCACGTTGTCACCATTGTAACCGTTGTCACTGTTGTCACCGTTGTCACTGTTGTCACTGTTGTCACCGTTGTCACTGTTGTCACCGTTGTCATCGTTGTCACGTTGTCACCGTTGTCACGTTGTCTCCGTTGTCACGTTCTCACCGTTTCTCACTGTTATCACCTCTGTCACCGTTGTCATCGTTGTCACCGTGGTCACCGTTGTCATCGTTGTCACTGTTGTCACCGTTGTCACCGTTGTTACGTTGTCACCGTTGTCACTTTTGTCACGTTGTCACTGTTTTCACCGTTGTCACCATTGTCACGTTGTCACCATTGTCACCGTTGTCACTGTTGTCACCGTTGTCACTGTTGTCACTGTTGTCACCGGTGTCACTGTTGTCACCGTTGTCATCGTTGTCACTGTTGTCACCGTTGTCACGTTGTCACCGTTGTCACCGTTGTCACCGTTGTCACTGTTGTCACCTATGTCACTGTTGTCACCTCTGTCACTGTTGTCACCGTTGTGACGTTGTCACCGTTGTCACGTTGTTACCGTTGTCACAGTTGTCACTGTTGTCACTGCTCTCACCTCTGTCACCGCTGTCACCGTTGTCACTGTTGTCACCGTTGTCATCGTTGTCACTGTTGTCACCGTTGTCACCGTTGTCACAATGTCACCATTGTCACTGTTGTCATTGTTGTCACCTCTGTCACTGTTGTCACTGTTGTCGCTGTTGTCACCTCTGTCACTGTTGTCACCGTTGTCACTGTTTTCACTGTTGTCACCTCTGTCACTGTTGTCACCGTTGTCACGTTGTTACCGTTGTCACCGTTGTTACTGTTGTCACTGCTCTCACCTCTGTCACCGTTGTCACTGTTGTCACTGTTGTCACCGTTGTCACTGTTGTCACTGTTGTCACTGTTGTCACCGTTGTCACTGTTGCCACCGTTGTCATCGTTGTCACTGTTGTCACCGTTGTCAACGTTGTCACGTTGTCACCGTTGTCACCGTTGTCACCGTTGTCACTGTTGTCACCTCTGTCACTGTTGTCACCTCTGTCACTGTTGTCACCTTTGTCACTGTTGTCACCGTTGTCACGTTGTCACCGTTGTCACGTTGTTACCGTTGTCACCGTTGTCACTGTTGTCACTGCTCTCACCTTTGTCACTGTTGTCACCGTTGTCACTGTTGCCACCGTTGTCATCGTTGTCACTGTTGTCACCGTTGTCATCGTTGTCACTGTTGTCACCGTTGTCAACGTTGTCACCGTTGTCACTGTTGTCACCTCTGTCACTGTTGTCACCTCTGTCACTGTTGTCACCGTTGTCACGTTGTCACCGTTGTCACGTTGTTACCGTTGTCACCGTTGTCACTGTTGTCACTGCTCTCACCTCTGTCACTGTTGTCACCGTTGTCACTGTTGCCACCGTTGTCATCGTTGTCACTGTTGTCACCGTTGTCAACGTTGTCACGTTGTCACCGTTGTCACCGTTGTCACCGTTGTCACCGTTGTCACTGTTGTCACCTCTGTCACTGTTGTCACCTCTGTCACTGTTGTCACCGTTGTCACTGTTGTCACTGCTCTCACCTCTGTCACCATTGTCACCGTTGTCACTGTTGTCACCGTTGTCATCGTTGTCATCGTTGTCACTGTTGTCACTGCTCTCACCTCTGTCACCGTTGTCACTGTTGTCACCGTTGTCATCG